TTTGATCAAAAGGAAAGACAAGAAAATACATATTAGAGATGCTCTTTGATTTCAATGAGAAAAAGAAAAAAAAAACAAAATCCAAACCGGAAAGCTGTGAAATTTGCAGTTCCTGCTTGTATATAATTGGTGTAAGTTAGAAAAAGATGAGTTCAGTGTTCAAACTTCAATTCTAATTTATATCAATTATTTATAAAATAAAATCATTAAAATTAAAAAAAAAAAAAAAAAAAAAAAAAGAAATCACTCAACTGATATTTTCTATTGCATCCATCTATATCTGGCAAAAAGAATTTTTTTAAGTAATTTCTTTTCCTTTCTGTGTAAGGTTTTAACATTTTCTCTTTCAAACAGCTAATTTAATAGTACAACTAAGTCATTCTTTTGAAGTTACCAACTATCCATTCACATGGTAATACAATATTTTCATTATATAATTAAAAAAATATATGAATATTTTTTGTGTTTATCAAAAATGACCATAACTGTATTATTCAATAGCATATGACTTTTTCTTTTATTCTTATATTAAAAATAAGGTTGTGGTATGCAACTATTTTCAAGAATCCAATCACCATATAAAAATGAAAGAGGAAATATAGAAAAGTTGTGAAAAAATTAATATGATAAATTAGTTCTTGTTGTTGGTCTTTAAAAAGAACAAAACATTATAAATTTACTCATGTTTTCCAAAAGTAATTTCTTATTTAAAACAATTTCCTTATAAAGTGTGTAAAAAGACTTCAAACATTTCAAAAAGTAAAACAAAAATGGTGGTACTCTATATACAAAATCATTCTTCAAATTCTCTGGATTTCTTTTTGGATTAAAATAGCACAAAAGCCTTCATTTACATTATTAACAATTTTAAACAGTAAAATTTAAATAAAGAAACAAAAGAAAATACATATTCTCATATAAAAATATTCAAAATGAATGGGGTTTTTTGTGTATGTATGTACTGTAGTTTACAAAGGCACTAAAGTTGTTTCATTTTTGTTTTTTTCATTTTTTATTTAATTAAAAAATGAGCTAACAATATAAGAAACTGGAATAAAAAATAATAAAATTTATTTACAAGTACACTACAATTTTCTTATTTTTAATTTTTATCCTTATCTAATAATGTAAAATAAAATGTAGACATTGGCTTACTTTTTCTGCTTTAAAATCAAGATCTATTTTATTCTTTACAGAAATTAACATATCTATCCTAAGCTAAATTTACTGTAAATTCTCCATTTTTTTAAACACAGTTTAAGAATAAATTCTGTACCTCCTCAAAAACTACAAAATTATCCAGTCTAATATTAGGTTTTTGATAGTGACAAATTTTTATCCTTTTATTTAATAATAATAATATAAAAGGTGGGGTAATATTTACTGTAAAAGGTTAAAAACAGACAAGCAGTCTGAAGATGCCTCTAAGCGTCACAGTCTTTAAGCAAGGAAAAGTACTAAGTTTTCAGTATTCAGATAAAGAAAAACTAAAATGGAATATTTGAAAACACATGGTTAGAAATTTTCATGGTCTTATCTGAACAAAGACAGCAAAAGACAATAAAAATATACTATTTTCAAGTTTTAACGTAGTTGCTTAAGTAAAAAAAAAAAAAAAATCTCCTGTTATCTTGTTACAAATACACGTCCTTTACAAAACTAATTTTAAAATATATCAATTGATTCATAAATATATCTCAAAGGACAGCCTGGGTTGTTACTAGAGTTTCACACTCATACGATCTTCAGATGACTACAATGCAAATGAAAGAAGTGGGGGATCAACTTTATATAATCCATGATAATAACATACATACCTTAAAGTATCATAGGGGGAAAAACATTAAAAAAATTAATTTTATTTAAAAAACCTTTGGATATCCCACCCTCTTGGAGGAAAAAGAAAATAAGCAAAGAAACTCCACTTCATGGGTGGGCCTAATTAATCATGGTGACTGTACTATAGGGAGGGGGTCAGAAAGAAAATAACAAACAAATAAGCTAGTCAGGTGGTGACACAACAGTTATTTTATATTATGCCTACATCTGCTAATTAACTCTGTTTTTTTTATCAAGTATTCTGTTATCGCTGCTCAAACTTAGTACAGCAAATTTTTCTAGAAGGCAAAACTGAAACCTATCCTTAGTCTTTTTATATGTACTGCTTTTTTTATAAATTCTCTAAGTCATTTTTGGGGACATACTTCTCTTTTAATCTTCCAATAATATGTTGACAGCATCATAGCATTTTTGTATTTACTGTGTTTAAAACTCAACTTATGATTATAGTACCTTTTATCTCATTCATTTTCAGTAGCCCCTATGTATATTTTCTCCTAATTAACTTTATTATTATTATTTTCTACCCCAGTTTTCAACAAACTATTACCTTCCATAGGACAGGCACTTTTTAATCTACAATTGCATCTGATTTTATTTTATTCATAATTACTGCTATTGAGCAACTTTCTGTTATGGCTATCAATTATCTCATATTTCTACCAAAACAATAACTGACTTTAATATTTTTATTGAATAGCTTCATCTTTTTTTCAAAAGTAGGAAAGTGTTTTCTAATTAATTTTAAGAATATTCTTCTTATATTAGTTTTTACCACTTTACTGTATGATGGATTAAACTATATTATTTTTATGCTCCTATTCTTTTGTTGTTGTTGTTGTTTACTATATTTTAGTTCATATTTTTGTCTACTTTTTTAATGTTTCTTGGTACAGACCCTTAGCTTTATGAAAGATTCCCTTATTTTTCAAGTTAGTAGATAATCCACTGGCTATAGATTTATATAAGTGTTTAGTGACAATAGTAGGATGATCAGACTCAGTACTTATGTATAGTTGCATATTTCCAGGATTTCTGTATGGTTTATATTCTCCTGTGGATATGTGTAAACTTATATTCAAATAGTTCATTTCTATCAAATTTGATTCTACCTGTATTTTGAGCCTATATTGATTAAAAAAAAATTCTAATCTTTATAGTGCTTATTGTTCACCCCTGCCATTTTACTTTTTATTATCATGAGTCCATCCTCTCTATAGAGGCCTAAAGTTTCCTTATTGTAGTTATAAAAATCCCTACTAATTTAGACACTTATGTACTGTTGTAGCTACCAATTCCCATGTCAACATCCTTATCCATTTTTGTCCATATCAGTTTTTTGCTCTCTCTAGGTAATCTAGGTGTTGAGCACTTTTCTTTAATGAGTAGGTAGATATTTTGATTTAGGTATTTTTCATTTTACTTTTCTTCTTTGGGATTTTCTCTTGATTAGAGTGTGAGGTCTTTTGGCAAGTTCTCGTTTGGTTTAACCAATGTATTTGTTTTTCTTTATATATAAAACATTAATTCATCTCCTTTGTAAAACAGGACAGTACCTCAGTATTTCTGTACATTTTATGGACTATAAATTTTTTTGAGCATTTATTTTATACAGCACCTACAATCTAAATTAAAAAAATTTCTGATTTAAAATCCAACAATACCAATAATAGAGATATACATAAAACAAACACACACACGCACATGCAGGCAGCCAACACTAAGTCTGGACATTAGGAGGTGATAATCTAGTGTAAATAATTTGGATTTATGATACCCCCTATCATCAGAGATTGCAAAGCATTTTCCTTACACACAGCTTCGTCGTTTTTTTTTTTCATTTCAATCTGAAGAAGCCAAAGAGCATACACTTTTGCAGCAAAATGTGTCATTAATAAAATTTTCAACTTTATCTCATCATCTTCAATTTTGTTTTGGATACTATTATACAGCATACAAACACACAATCTAATAGTATATGAATTTCTTAGATGAAGTGCTGTCAATTATTATTCATTTTTCACTAGTCTTTATTTCATCTTATTTCCATTAGTCAAATCCTTATTCTTTAATCATTAAGTAAGAAGCATGAATCAGAATTAAAATATAAGCCTCCAGCAATATGTGAATATTCATCTCTGATGTGAGTTTTTTTTTTCATTCTTAGTGTTTAAACTTCATTTCCAATCCATGCCATTTACTTCAATGGTTAGAGAATAACAATTTGAGAATTACAATAAAAAGCAACAGAAGCTTAAAAAGAAAAAATAAGCAAAATTAATAAGCACCTTAAATGTTTAAAGTACAAATCAAACTTTATATTGTTTAACTACGGCATGCAAAAACAGGTATTTCTAAAGTTTCTTGACTGTGAAGTGCTTCTAAATTTATCTTTTAATTAAAGGTAAAGTAGGCCATAAAAAATAAATTTTAGGTAATTTTTTACTATATAAATTTCTTAAAAATTATATAGAAAATTACTGAAAATTTACTTCACACAAACTAATTTGTCAAGATTCAAGTCAGAATAAATTTTGAATAAATTTTCAGCAGAAAGAAAAAATAAAACAAAATACATTACAATCCTAAATTATAGAACATTTTTGTTCATATCAATTATTTTGAATTTCAGATTCTCTATTAAAATTAGATATAGAATTTAATGAAATTAGAAATAAAATTTAAAATACATATAAATTAAAAAAAAGAATGAAAGTTACAGAAAAAACTGGAGAAAGTTATTTCATGTAAACTGAAGCATTAAAATTAGAATTTCAAAATGAATGCGAAATTTTAAAGTTAAATAAAAATTTTTACTCAATTTTTTTGTAAATAAAAAAAAATAAAAACATTCATAATGAAAGGAACATAAAACTTTTCTGTTATTATTTTTTTCAATTATCATAAAAATATATGTTTTAAAAACCTTATTTTAATATGGTATTAAAAAATAACAACTGACAGTCACATACACAAAAATATTAAAATCAAATATATAATATATATATATATATATATATATATATATATATATATATATATATGTGTGTGTGTGTGTGTGTGTGTGTGTGTGTGTGTGTAGGTATCAATATGAGCAATATTCAGAAGGAAAATAATGTGTTAAGGATCCGTGATTCAGGTATTTAAAACTCCCTGAGTTATTATTTGTAGTCAACAGAAGCAATTGGTGTCATTTGTGTTGACAAAAGTTCTCTGACCTTTGGCCAAATTTCATTTGTGTATTTACCCTTAAATTCTCTGAGTAAACCTGAGTTCCTAAAAGGATAGTAAAAATATAAGAATTAACAATACTCAAAATTAAACAAAGAAATATTTACAGTATTTACATTAGTCGGACTATTGTCCTCATCTTTGTCGCCATATTTGTCACAACGTTTCGGCCGTTGTACGCTCCGGCCTTCTTCAGGTGGTTGGAGTTTCGAACTGAACCCTTTATTTCGATCGCTGGGGTAGACTGTTCTAATTCCACGTGCCATGTTTGATGGATGTCAGTTATCAGTTATCTCCTGCTAATTTTCCCTCTGAAAGTTCTCCACTGCCTTAACCAGGAATTGAACTCACCTTCTTTGGGTCTGTCACTGGATCTAACCAACGCCTTTATCCACTGTGCCATGTGTCCTTGGTTCAGTTCGAAACTCCATACACCTGAAGAAGGCCGGAGCGTACAACGGCCGAAACGTTGTGACAAATATGGCGACAAAGATGAGGACAATAGTCCGACTAATGTAAATACTGTACATAATACCTCATCTCAGAAATATAGACAAACTTTAAAGAAATATTTGTTTGAACTATTTTGTTAATTTTTTTTAATTTACATTTGACAAATTGGAAATCTTTGTTTCAAATGACAGTTACCAGCTTGAGTTATAATAAATTAAAAACTTGAAAAAAAAAATGATAGACCAATTTAAATATTTTACAGAAATTTATATAATTAAGCCTGGTCTTTATTTTATATGAACAAAAGTTAAATGAAATCCCAGTTATTGATAGCATAAAAAAATCATAGACATATTTTGAAAAATACAAATTGAATACAGAAGAGAAACTTAAACTAAAAATATTCTCTTTTAAAGCAAAAAAAAACAATTTACTGGAGTCAAAACTATCATCATAATAACCTTTAATTTCCAAGTGATAATCATGTAAAATTAAAATGATATTTTACATATTTATAGCTTATTTCTAAAAAACTAATATCTATTCATAACGTTATCTTTTCATTAAATTTCATGAGAAAATGTGTAGCAGAAATCTTGTAATGTCAACAATTGAATGTATTTATAAAAGATGAATGATTTTAGGTAATATTTTGCCAAAGCATTTACAATAAATATATATGTGTGTGTGTGTGTGTGTGTACTTACTTATAATACTCAAGAACTGGTTCTGTTTGTCTTTTGTATGTTTCCAAACGTTGTCTTACTGTTTCTGGTTTGTCATCATCTCTTTGGATTAAAGGTTCTCCAGTGACGTCATCAATTCCCTACACCAATTGGAAAAAAAAGAGGGAAAAAAGTTTAAATATTACTAAATAATAAAACTATATGAATCAATTACATTTTCCTTTGTTTCTACGAAATTAAAATTTATAATTTTTCATGCATAATGTAGATAACTATATAATTTCTTAATTGGTTTTAGCATGGCTTGATTTATAAATTAATTCCTAAATATCAAAAAATAAATAATATCTTTTCTTGAGAAATTTGTGATGTTTATTTAAGATTTAAAGAGTAAGATATGCTTTTTTTTTCAAATTTTAATCACAAACAAAAACTTTTTTTTAATGTATTCAGTACTGAAATAGTCAGTTTTGGCCCAATACACAAATATTTTTGCCATCTTTTACTCTTTTTTTATTTTTATAAGTTCATTGTGTACTATCAAGAATGGTATGACTAGTATTTGTTGTAGTTCATGGCTTTCTTCAAAAGCCTTCTGACCTAAAATAATTCCTTATGAATATGCATGTCTCTCTGTGTTGGACTCTTAATTTTCTAATCATTTCACTCCAAGCAAGGCAATAAAGCCACCAAAACACAAGGGCTTACTGAGTGTGAGAGAATATGAGAAAAAATATTAAAAAAAACATTATCAAGGGGAGAGAACAATAAAAGAACAGGAATTAAGAAGACAAAAGATAACAATTGACATTGATTTTCAAAAATTTAAATGCAAAGTTGACTGGAAAGCAAGAAACTGGAAGAGAGTTCTAAAAGCAAAAAGTGTGAGATAAGAAACTGTTAACATAGAACTTATGGGGTTACATCTAGCAATATCAACTGTAAAATGATGAGAATTTGCCACCAAACTAGTACTGCACTTAAATAGATAAAGTTTAGGTATCATGGAGAAAAATTCATCAGAACAATTACTATGAAAAATGTTTATAGAAAAGGTACAGGAAAGCTACATGATATCAGTGAAAAAAGTAACTTAAGCAGAGATGATAGGTCAGCACCAATATCATTGCAGATACTTCATTGGATTTTATCAAGAATCTCTAAATATAGAGCAGAAGCACCAGATGTGGCAGCAATATTCAACGCACAAACAAATGGTAAATTTATAACAATGTAAAATAGCTCACTGTATTGTACTTGCCAGAATCTAACTTTCATAGCAGCAGATATAATAATTGATTCAATATAATCTTTCCACTTCATGTCAATGGAAAACATTGCTTTATTATTATTTTTTTAAAAAATGAGGAGTTTGCTCTTATAGTTTTAACAGGATTTACAAATCTGACCATTCAAAACACACACCTGTCAATCTGGTACAAATGATTTTCAACACTTGATCTGGATATTTTCAATATGTTAGCTATCACTTACATTGTATAACATTGATTGTTATCAGTCTCAAAATTAAAAAAAGTTTATGTGAAACATGTTGCTTATTTTCTTGTTTGTGAAGAAAAATGTTAAAAATCTATAATCTACTCTATTAATTAACCAGTTTCAGACAAAATAAAAACCTCTTTTTACAGAGAATTATTAATAAGATGTGATATTCCTACTGAGTAGAAATAACTTGAAATTTAACTTACAGAAAAAGGTAAGAATTACCCATTTAAAACATATATTAAATTATTAATCTACAAAGTTAAATCTCTTAAATAAGTATAGTCATTAATTTTTTCAAAGTAAATATAGTCATTATGTTATTAGAAATTTTATACCCTTCAAGTAACACATATTCAACTACAACTTAGCATATTTTCATATATTCTTCTATTTAATACTATGTGCACATTATGTGTAAATAAGAGACATTGTATTAAACAGTCTAAGTAAAAGCCCGTGTTGAATTAGTAAGAGGAGTTATTAAGAAATCTTCCAGTTATTTTTTGTCATACAAAAGAAAAACTTTTTAAAAAAAATTTGTAAAATCACCTCAACTATTTCTTATTTATAAAATTTTGTATTTACTCATTATCTGGAATTAATTTATTTAAAACACTCTTAATACCGTCAAATGTTAAAAGAAAAAATAGAATAAACATTTTGGATTGCCTAATATATGCAGTCATGAAAGCGAGTTTGTAGTGTGACTTAATTCTTCGTAATGATGCTTCTCCCCCAGTTAGCGATTCGCAAAAAACCAACAGAGTTTATAAATTCAAGTGCCCTTTGGGAGATTGTATCTCAAACAAATTAAATAATATTTATGTTGGTCACACCACAAACTCGCTTTCATGATGCTTGACACTACATTTGAATGAAAACTAACATTTTTAGGCATTTAAAACAACATGCCTGGCTGCACACACAATTCCATAAAATCCTTGTCGAAAACACAATTATACTTAAACATGAAAACAATAGACAAAAACTAAAAATCCTTGAAGCTATATACATCAAACAGTTGAAATCTAACCTAAACAAAATCAACTATGGAATCTCTACAAATATCCTTAAATGTCTATAATTGGTAACAGAAGCCATTGGTTTATATCAACGGTTTCCCATACTTAATACTTCTCGAATTCACTCTCGCGTGGTCATATGCGGTGCGATTTTTGCTTCTAGCATCTTATATGCACGTGTTTATCATTGCTTGGAAATCATCCATGTAAACAATAACAGACTATCATCACTGTCTTGTCCGTATATTGTTTAATATATTGTACAGTAATTTACATCTTTGATAATGGCTTATGTAAGCCAAAAGCTTAGATTGGATTAAAAAATATGGATCAATAATGTTATTAAGCTTATGAAAAAGAATTTACATAAAATAAATAGACAACACTTGTCTATATTATTTAATGAAACATGTATGAATGAAAAAATGCTGCTTAAATACACATATAATATATATATATATATATATATATATATATATATATATATATATATATATACACACACACAGGGTGTATCAAAAATACTTTTACAAACTTTAGCGATGGGTTCCTGACACCAAAATAAGGTAAAATGTCTATATAGATTAGGTACCAGCACTGAATTTTTGATACCTAAGGTTTAAAATAAATTCTTAAAAAGGAAAAAGCATTCTTGAAGACTTCATTTTAGCTTTAATTGACAGCTAAATGATTAAATTTACTATTTCCAGTAAGTAAAATATTCTGGTGTATTTCAATTAAAAATTATATAGACTGGAATGTCAAATACTTGCTCGATTTCAGAAAATCTTACAAGCAACCATGTTCTCACTTTTAAGAAATTTGTAAACAAAACAAAATTATCAGTTTCAAAAATCTTCCAAAAATAAAATATATATTTGTGACACATTATTTGAGTAAAATTAGCAAATTTAAAGTTAAATTAATCTGATTTCAAATAAACATTACTTACTTATAGCATAAAAAGTAATATACAAGCATTTCTTAATGACAGGTCATGTTTTTCTTTTGTCTTTATTGATTATCGATAGGTTCCAAGGTGTTGAAAGCTAATATGGATAACCAGAATTGACACAAATTTACAAAATCTAAGTGAACACATTTTTTTTTGGTTTTTAGCTATCTAGTAATTTTTACAAATTAACATATTTCCAGCAAGTATGTAATATTTTATTGACTTTTAGTTACATTTAATGATGCTTTATGAAATTTGGGTTTTGTCAATATATGTTCTTATCTTAAGTTTACTAATTTAAACAAAAAAATTACTTAATTTAAGTATGACCCAAACTAAAATAAATACATGAAATAAAAATATTTAGTGAAATAGTAATTAAAAAGAAAAGTAAAACTTACTTTAAAATTTTGAAGGGATGATTTACAAAAACATGAACAATGAAAGAGAACTGAATAATGAAAGTGAAAGAACTGCAGAGCACCAGACAACTCTTAAATCACATGACCTTTTAAAGAATAATGTCATTTATGGCTTACCATAGTTACAAATTGGGAATGTTTATACACTAAAAGAATTTTTTTTTTAAATATTGGATACAAATGACTGTTATGAGCTTTTCAATTTTTGATTTGTAAATATAGTTTTCACTTAATAACACTATCAACTTACCACCTTGAAGTAATGCAGAATTTTAAACAATTTTTTAATATTATAAATTACTTAATTAAAATTTTTAAAAAATGAAAAGAATTCTTGTAAAAATTAATTAACAAAAAAATTTTCTTCTTAAGACAATAGTGTCCTTAATAACTTATAAAAGCAATTAAAAGCTTTTCCAATTAAATAATATCAGTTTTATTGCATTTTTTATTTTACAATTCAGAGTAGATTTTCAGTGAATGGGTAACTGTTTAACAAAAATAAAATTGATGAGTTACATTCTCCAAGGAGTCCTGCTTTTAACTAATAAAAAAAAACCCCACCCTAAAAATTGAATTTCTTCAAATTTCATGAAATTAAGTAAGTGGGTAATATTTTTTTACCAAGATTTTGTAAAAGCATTTCAAAAATAATTTCATTCATTTCTGAAGGCCTTCATTGTACACAGAAACTCAAATGTTCAAAATGTCTCCTGCTTGCTTCTACACAAGCATGCACCCATCCGATCATTGACTAGTGGAACCTTTCAAATACTCCCACTCAGTATCAAATGGTTTTGCAGGTCCCCATGACACATTGATGCAACATCTCTGCATTATTAATGTTTGATGTATAAACCAATTGTTTTAGGTGGCCCCACAGATAAAAATCCAAAGTATTGAAGTCGGGGGAACGTGCAGGCCAGAGAACCAGTCCTCCCCTACCTATCCATCTTTCATAGTAGATGTCAACCAATGCATTGCGATCAATGTGACTAAAATGTGCTGAGCCCCATCATGCATGAACCACATGCATCTTCGTATTAGCAGGAGTACATCCTCTCAAAGGTCTGGAAGTGTGTTTATAATAAAGTCCCGGTAGACAACTCCTATAAGACATGCTGTGAGAACATATGGACCTACCAGACAGTTAACTACAATTCCAGCCTATACATTAATCATAATGTATAGGCTGGAATTGTAGGTATCCATATGAATTGTACCATATGAATATTGATCCACCTACGAATGTTGATTTTGTAAATTTGTTATTCGATCTCATCCAAATGTTGCCTCATCCATAAAAAAGACTGAAGAGACAAACAACGGATCAGCAGTTTGTGCAATAAACTATTGGCAAAAGTTATTCCATGGTGAGTGACGTACATGAATGACAAATTAAGCTAGTCTACATGGCAACACAGCGCGATCTACCATAAACTTTCTTTAAACTTAATAACTCAAAAAGGAATTATTTGCAGACATATGTTTATATGGACTTTTGTCTTTGTTTTGGTGTGAGGAATCTGCTCACAAAGTTTGTAAAAGTATTTTTTATACACCCTGTATGTGCATATATATATATATATATATATATATATATATATGACTTAAAACAAAATGTGGTTCTTGTGTGTTTCTTATAATATGTAAAATAGATAGGTTGGTTAATAAAACAAGGGCAAATGAAAGGGTACCAATATAATTAGTATGATAAACATTTATTAAATAGTAACCATATGACAAAAATGAAGCACTTTTGTTTGTCTTTTGTTTTATTAATCAACCTATCTATTCTACACACACACACACACACACACGTGTGTGTGTGTGAATGTCAATGTGTCACACTTTTTCAGTTTTATTCCTAGAGACTGTAGCCTAATATATATCATTTTGAAATCAGGCAACTAAGTGGGCAAATTAAAAATATTCCAGGTTGGATCTAGACCCTCAAGCCTGAAATTTTGGATTCCTAAGTTTTCATTATTGCAATTGTTTTCAGCAATTTTTGTGACAAATTTTTTTGTATGATAATAATTTTTATAACTTGGAAATAAATTTGGAAATAATTGAAATTAACTGTGAAATCCAACAAAAGATACCCATAAAATAAAAATAATTATTTGTATGAAAAGTAAGGACCTACATACATCAAATTGTCTTTAAATTAAGTGGCAGCAGAAGAATTATTGTTGAACTTTTAAAAGGTAAGCTTAAATATTAATGCAATACTTAAATGCAGCAATCAATTTTGAGTTCTTCTGTAGTTTATTGTTGTCTATTGCTTACAGCAGCAGTATGTCTCGAAAAAAGAAATCTTTGTTAACAGAGAACCAGATTATAATCAAAAGAGCTAAGGCTGCAGTGAGAAAAAGAAAATCCCATGCAAATGAAAACCCGGATCAAACGGCAGTCAGGAGAGCTCCCAATGCTGAGAATATGCAATGATTTAGGGAGTCTCAAACTCCTGAACAAGCTGAAGAACCAATCAAGAGCCCTCTGTAAAAGCTAGTTTAAATGCCAACCAAGAGGGCAAATTTTAATCTACTATATATATTAGTAGATTAAAATTTGCCCTCTTGGTGGTATATATATATATATATATATATATATATTATATATATATATATAACCTGGGAGTAAAGAGGTAAACTTACAGGAGTTTTGGGAGGATTAAACTCAGTGTGATAAACTCTACCACTGGGTAGATGAAGCCATCTTCCTTTGATTCGGTCAATAATAACATCAAAAGGGATGTTCAGATTGATCACAATGTTCACTGGTTCTACTTTGTGAAAAGATATGGCTTGAGGGACAGTTCTGGGAAATCCTGAAATTAAAAAAAAAAAAAAAAAACAATTGTAAATCACACAAAATATATGCAAATATAAATAAAATTAATAGATACAATAAAATGCATTTTGTATAAGTTTATGGAAGAGAGCTAAGTTTATAGATATATAAAAGTATATTTTTTTTCCCTATAAGAAAGTAAAAGCAATAAAATCAAATAAACCTATATTCAGGATATTAGAGTAATTGGTTTGTGGATAATTTTTCAAAGGATAGAAAAATAATCATAAAAAGAAATTTATAACAGTTTCTGAATAAATATTCTTATAATGTATTTAAACAATAGTAAGCAAATTTTTAAATAGGTAGTGTACTATGAATACCATGTGAAAAATTTGGGGTAGCTATTTCTTGCTGTAATTTGGGATGAACAGAAATATGTTTGTTTTAAAGAAGTTGGAATATTCTGAAAACCCAGATGAATATAAATGGATTCTTTGCCTTTATAAAATTAAAAGAATAACTTATCAGTATGCATGCATGAAATGTAATATGAGTATTTAACAGCACTGTCAAGCAAATAGTTTCTCCTTGATTTGCTTGTCTTCTCTTATTGGGAAACATTATCAGTAATATTACACTAATGCCCTCACACATACATAAGTCAAGAGTTATTGGTGCAAGTCTTAAATAGAGGAACAGTATTTAATAATCTATGTAAAAATATTTGTCACAAGAACATAAATTAAAAATAAATAAATAAAAAAGAAAAGAAAGTTTTTTAGGACACACTGCCCATTGAAAAACTATCATGTTACTCTGGTAACTGGAGTTGCTTTGAGTTATCAAGATATGCCAAGTAAACTCTTGATTTCTTTTCTTCTTTTTTGACCAGTCTATAAGACCACAAAATACAACCAAAAAGAAATATCTACTCAATGAGTAAAGAAGGAAGCTTGGAAATACCAACAATTCCTTCTGACAACAGTAATTTCATATTTGGCTATAACCAGAAATAATGCTGTGTGCATTTGTTTTCATCTTCTATCATGTTATTATGCTTTTTCAAAAAAAAATAAAAAAATAAAAAAAATGACCGAATTGCATCTTGTTTTCATAGAAAAGAATCACTAAAAATAATTCAAGGTCAAATTTATTATAATAATTTTGTGTAAGAAATTTTCTTGGATCCAAATATAGTTCACCAATCTTCCAGAGTTCAAAAATTAGGACTGTGGTGAAAAAAAATATATGCAAGATCAATGGTGTGTGGCACTCAATAATTTTCCACCTAAGTGCTGAGCCAATAGAAGAATGATCAATCAACCAAAATGGTTCAAAGGACTGTGAACAAGAAAAAAAGGCCTAGTTTCTCCTGAAAAAGAAAGTTAAAACCTGGATTTTACTTCACAGTGAAGTAAAATTAATAAAAGAGAAAAAAATAATTCACTGTCGGTCTAAAAAAGACAAATACAAGCTGGTTCAAAGACTATCTGTAAAACAAAGACCGTTCCTTCTTTTCTTGAGTGGTTCTACATTTGTTGTTTTGTCCTTTTAAGTTTTTATATTTGTCTTTGCCACACATACACCAAGATCTTTTGTCTTTGCAGTAGTAAAACAAGCATAAAGCATACTGAATTACTGTATTTTACCATAAACAGAGACAGTGTGAACATATAGAAAATATGGTCCAAAATCATAAGAAAAGAATTCAAGAAAATACAAAAATTATTCTTGCAGTGATCTTTTAATAAAATATATTGTATATTTTTTGTTTCCACAGGAAAGAATATCAATGATGTTTGTGAAAAATTGATGTATATTTTTTACAGCACAATTTTAAAACTGTTTCTAGTCTTGGTCATTGCTGATAAAGATCATATAAAATCAAGAGGTGTTTGAAGAATCAAAAAATGTAAAGTTGAATGCCATTTTTGAATGTGAAGATTTTAATCTCTTTTCTATCTCATCCAAACTAGTGATTACTTGTTATTACTATCATTATCACTGTTTTAGCCAAATTGTCTTTATGACACAAAAATCTATAAAAACCTACATAAAAGATTAATTTATTTACTAATAAATAATTTTGCAATGTCACTCTTTCTAAAAATACACCACTTCCTGCCATCTTAATCTTGTGTAATTTTTGTAAACATCAGTAAAAAGGTGACCATCAGGACACTCAAGTTCTAGAAAACAGCTCATTTAAGACTATTGTTGTAAAAACAATCTTATACAAAGAATAATCTCTTTCAAGAGGCAATACAAAGAAAATCATATGGCATTCTCTACTGAGGTTGAAATGCACTATTATCAGTAAAAGTGCATGTATTGTACTTTCTCCTTAATTATAGATTTGCTTTCTGTTTTAACAATAGATTTCTTGAGTCAGTAAAAAACAAAAGAACCTTATGAAAAACTGTAACTGGGCCAAAAAAAGTGCAGTTAAATCATCAAATACATGAGAAATGAATCAAAGCAATAAATAAAAGAAATTGTTCTAAGTGTTAAAATTTTTAAATGGAATATTTCAATTCTTGTGAATTATGTGTGCATTTATTAATTTTCAAATATGATTTTTTTAGCGTAAGTGTATATATTGAGTTTTTTTATTACTTTGGCTTATACATAAATGCACAAACATCTTTTTTTTTATATTCATAAACCCAAGAAATTAAATTTTCATCTTTTAATACCTTTCTATATTTCTGAGATGAGATATTGTAACTATTTACATCGTTCAGATTGTTGTCCTCAACGTTAATGCCATATTCACGATGTTTCAGTCATTGCATGCTCCAACCTTCTTCAGGTGATATACATTGGAATTCTGAACCAAACCTTTTACTTAGTCTTCAGTAGTAGATTGTTCTAATTCCAAATTTGGAATTAGAACAATCAACCTTCAAGAAGGTCAGAGCGAACAACAACTGAAACGTCATGAATATGGCAATAAAGAAGCGAACAACAGTTCGAATGATGTAAATAGTATAAATATTTTTTCTTTTAATCAGATTTTTACTTCTATGATTTAAACTAGTATGTTATCTCAACAATAACTAGAGTAAAAATTATATTGATAATTCTGATTGGCCTAAATACAAGGGAAGCAACTCTTCCTTTACAAAGATTTATACTTTCATTTGACACAAAAAGGTAGGTCTGCTCGTTGTGGTTAAATGGATAGCAACAGGTATCACATTTCATGACTACAGAGTAGTGAGATTGGTTTTCACCTGATGATACATGATTATGACCTTGTACCAAAACTAAGACAAGTTTAGTTAATACTGTCATAAAAGGTAAAAGCAAAAGTTGGAATAACAACAGTTATCAGCAAATGAAATGGAATCATTAATTTAAAACATTATAATTTGAACAGAGGCTGCATGTTCCTTTAGCAGTAACGTTCTTGGTAATAGTACAAATAAACATTGCTTCACTAAATATCATGATATGCCTTACTACAAGCATGCTTTGATGGTTGCTAAAAAATAGTGTGGATGAATAAGAACTTGAGCGAAATATAGGTCTGCACAATTAAAGTGAAGGGCCACATTGATCAGAGAAAATTAACCACAAGAGTAAATTTTTATAATAAATTGCTGACTATGAGTGAAAGAGAAATAAATGTGGCAAGATGGATAACAAGAAAATTCTTTCTCGTTCCATTCCAAAAATGATTCTAGCAGATGATTGAGAGCAGACACCAAATTCTAGCAGATTATTGTAGCAGAGTTAAAAAATGAACTAATCTTAGTATTACTGAAAATTAAGATCAGTATGCATCATGTGGACTTTATTTGCGATAATTGCTTTTCTTTAGGTGTAGGGGATAGAACATATTGATGATAGTTCTAGGTACAAAAGACCTTTCTTCAGATTTTCTCAATTTAGGTTCTTCTAACATGAAACAACTGTTATAGTTTTATTGAGTAAATACCCCAAAATATATAGAAGTTTGCTAGTCAGTTAGATGGTACATTTTATGATTATGATTGCCTTAGTTTCATTTCATTAAGCATATATTCAACTAGTTTTTGTAGTTATGTGAGTTTAGGATCAGTGACTATGACTATATTGAATTGCCAACTCCAAACTTGATGTCACATAGTTAGGTCTTTATATTCCTAACCTGGAAAACAAAAAAAAAACTTACCATCAAGGAGCCAACTAACATGTCCCAAGGAATGTATTTCATTTAAGATTAGATTCACCATGATATCATCAGGAACTAATTCACCTTTATCAATATATTTCTTTGTGGCTAGTCCGGCCTCTACAAAAAAAATAAAAAATAATATTAATTTTGATTCATTTTTCTCTTATTTGATTTTTGGCTGCTTTTTATTACAATACTCAGTTCTATTTTACATTCTGCAACCATTAAGCAAGAAATTCCTTCAAGTTCCATAGATGCCACTGAGGCCAAAGGTCTCAACACACTAAACATTGCTGCTGTGATTTCTTCAGTAAGCAGGTTTTTGAGATGGAGTTGCTAGCCCCATCCTCAAACTCATTTTGAATTCATAACTGTCCTTTTAGACTGGTTGAAGTTTGTTCTACTATTTAACCCATAACTGGGGGGAGAAAAGATTTAGACCTTTCCCAAGGGTATTTATGCAAAAGTGAAATGTAACTAACTCAACTGGAATTCAAACTCAGCTTATCAATTTTGCATTCTATACTGTTAACGAGGACATTTTTATGTATGAAACAAGCAACAACACAAAATGGAAATAAATAATGATTTCCAACAAACCTAGCATTCTGATAAAAAGTAACAAAAATAATAATACGATTAAGAAAAATTGACAAAATTTATAATGATAATAATTCATGTTGGAAATTTAACTTTTATCACGCTAATTTCTTTCTAGAGATGTCTTCCCTGCCACTGCATTTTTTTGAGGGTGGAAAGCATGAACACCTATACTAAATTTTTGATTGACTTGTTTTTAAGGCTTATCAATCTTTTGCAAGTTATTTAAACCCAGGAAATATTTTAGATTCTAAGAATCTTTCATAGATAATGATTTAATGATACAAATCCTACTAATTAACCCATAGCGGAGGGGAGGTGGATTCATACCTTATCCAAGAGTATTCACCTAAGTGAACCTAACTGGAATTGGAACTCAGGTCTCAGATTTCATTATCCATTACACTCCTTGCACACCCAAGCTTATGGTCCATGTTATTCCCAAGTAGGTACCCATCTAGGTATTGACCAGACTTGATGTTGCTTAACTTCGGTGATTGTATGAGAACCAGTGTTTTAACATGATATGGCCGTAAGCTTGATTAATACTGAAAATAGGTGACAATTTTTATCTCTTCAAAAAGAAAAGTAGGACAAATCAAAACATTTAAGTTTTGATATTTCTAGCAATGGATTTAATGAAACTTTAATCCTTAAAAACAACAAATAATTAAAAAAAAGGTTTTTTTTTTAAATAATAAGTTAGGAAAAAATTTAATAGATTCTAGTGAAATTACTTTATGTGCATTAAAATATGAATTGAAATTATTATTAGTCAAACATTTTACTAAACAAGTCATAATAAAATTGAAGATCTGGTATTTTACAAAATGCAATATTAAACAGTGAGAAACAAATATTGAAGAGATGAATAATGATTCTCTTAATGACTTAAAATATATAAAAAAAACAAATTATGGAAATACTGTTTGTTTTTTGTTCATTTTATATTTCTTCTCATACAAAAATATTTAATTGAGGCAGTCCCAAGTAATGCGAACACCTCATATTCTTTATAATAATTCACTTTCCAAAACAAAACATCTGTGATTAGTACACATTAAGTGTACTAGTTTATCGTTATCTCCAAAGTTGATTGGCAGATAATTTAAATTGGCACACACAGATTGCTTTACACAAAATTATAAATCAGAAGTGCCCTTAAAAAGTTTTATCAAAAATTCCAATGGAAAATACACCAATTCTTTAATACTATATATATTTGTGTATAAGCCAACTTTATGTATAATGCAACCCCTGAATTTTAACCCCTCCACAAAAAATGACCTATGTATAGTGCAACCCCCTACTTTTTAAGTATAAAAAATGATCATAAATACTCAAGTATATGTGGCATATAAAAAATAAAGTAACAATTAGCTAACAATTCAATTTTAGTAACAAATTGATAGTTACAGATTTTCTTTAAATAAAAAAAAATGTTTTAATGTTGAGATCAAAATTTTCAAAATGGTATATTCTAACTTTATATTGTCAAAAGTATGGATTGAATGAACTGTAAATAAATCAAACAAGAATACTTTTGTGGAAAAATGTAAAAAAAAATTAAAAAAAGATTGTGATAATGAATGATAGGTAATTACTAAGCTTGGTTTAAATTTTTGAAGCTTATTTTGAAATCTTTCAAGATCATTTATATATATATATTTTTGATATGCTATCTGCTCACAAAAGGAAATGTTTGTGTTAGCCTATTTTGTAAAATATTGTATTTTGTTTTTAACTCTTGTTTTAATGTTTTGTAATTAATGTTTGTTGCTTTTAAATTTCATATAGTAGTTACACATTTTGTCTGTATGCACCTTTATTAATGTTCGGGATAAGAGTTCTCTCTTCACCCATTACCTCCCAGGGGGAAAAAAAACAAACTCTTTTAGTCCTACTAAAGATAAATTGTGCCACTGACTGGAATTGAACCTGCATCTCTTCTTTTTTTTTTTAAACCCCATCAAGGAAACCACTTTTTAGCCAAAGTACACCAATACAAATTTGGCAATGGAGACTAACCTGACAGAGCAAGGTTTGAATTACCTATTTAAAAAAAAAGCACATTTCTCACTAGGACTTCTACAAATCTATATCTGATCTGGAGGGTAGAGATGCCTCTAAGGAGCTGAGCATACTACAAGGTAACCAAAAAAGTTCTGTCCGTTTTTTGATTAGTCATTGAATGAAGTTGAAATATATATGAAATGCGTGTAGCAATTGTTTTCAAATTCGGACAGCCGGAAGAAGGAACATCAGACATTATAAAAAGCACACACACTGTGCCCGGCCATCAGTTATAAGCCGGACAGCTGTGAGAAGGATGGAAGTGTCTAGAGATCTCATTCAGGGCTGTTTGTTTTATGACTTCAAAGTGGGCTTATCAGCAGCTGCATCAAGTCACCGCATATGTCAAGCATTTGGGGATAGTGCTGTGGATGAACGTACTGCAAGGCGTTGGTTTTGAGAATTCAAGTCAGGAGATTTGTCTCTCCATGATGAGCCTCGCAGTGGACAACCACAGGTCTTGAATGACAGAGTCCTGAAAGCAGCCATTGAAGAGGACAGTAGTCTAATGTGTGGTGAACTTGCAAGACAGTTCAACATTTCCGATGAAACAGTTAGACTTCACCTGCACTGCCTAGGTATGACGTACAAACTGAGCAAGTGGGTTCCACAAACGCTGTTGGAGGTCCACAAGGGACGAGTGGCAGTCTGCGTATCGCTGTTTTCTCGCCACTGTACCACATCCTTATTCAATCAAGTGCTTACCAGTGATGAAAAGTGGGTTCTGTACGAAACTCCCAAGCATTCCAGACATTGGTTGTCTCCTCAGGATGCTGTCCCTCACACCGCAAGACCACCTATGCATCCACAGAAGATTATGCTTTGTGTCTGGTGGACAGGTCGTCAAGTGGTTCATTATGAACTGCTACCAATGAGCCAAACAGTCACTGGAGAGCTATACTCACAGCAATTGAAACGTGTGCAACAGGTATTGCGCCAGAAGGAGCCAGCACTGATGAATCGCAAAGGTGTGCTTTTCCTCCATGACAACGCCAGGCCGCATGTTGCGCGAGTGGTCAGGGATACCATACAGCAACTTGGGTGGGAGACTTTGTGCCATCCACCTTATTCACCTGACCTTGCGCCATCCGATTACCACTTCTTCCACTCCCTGGATAATAATCTTCATGGGAAATCCTTCACCAATGAAGCAGACTTGTGCAAAGCCCTCACGGACTTCTTTGCGTCATAAATGAGAATGACATGTTAATCACTAATTAATCATAGCTAAGGATCAGAAGCTTGTGAAGTATTGAAATAAAGTTCAAATATATATGTATATATTATTCCCAGATCATTTTCCAACTTATTCAAGATGATCTTCGCCCTCTCTAACCTTCTAACTTTCTGTCCTGAAGTAACAAGTTATCTCACAGGTTTCACATACAATTTCATTTTCAAGTCTTTTTTTTCACTGCCCTTTGGGCTGTCATAGCTAAAACTCCTCTCTCATGTGCCAAATGTCTTATGAATTGAGTTTGATTTTTATGACTTCTATTTTGATGTAATTATATTTTGTAATAAAAAGCAGTATTTTAAATGAACTGGACAAACAATTTATGGTTCACTTCAGTTATACAACTACATCTGATAATGCAAGTGAGGAGTTGTGCAATTTTTAACTACTACATTGTATTATATTTTTGTTTTAATAATAAATATTAATCTTAAAATTTTAATTACTCTCTAACAGCTGCAGTAATCTCCTAATGGTCAACTTTTTACAGCTGGATTTGAAATAGCCTAAAGGTTAGTTTATGTAGCCTTATAAGTGAAAAGTGCCCAATTTAGATTTCAAATTTAATTTTGCTGTCAGCGAAGATACAGCTACCAAACAACCTTTCTTTATGCATATACTCTACTTAAGTAGCACTTCACCCATTCAATTAAAAAGTAGGTGTGTTTGATCTGAGGTGTCCAAAAGGGAAATGCAGGAGACTAAGCATTTTCACATCCATATACGCGTGGGGTTCCTATACTTTAGTTCAGTTTACACTACGTGACAGTTACACGTTTTATTTTATTTTTTTATTTTTTGTGCCATTTCCCATTTGAGTTGTCACGCGAATAAATATCCTTTGTTTTTCTATTCTTAAATTCTCATTTTTATCGACAACTATTTTTTCTGTCTCCAAAATTTTAATTGTCTCCGATTTGAGTTTTTGACACAATTTCGTTTTTGTTATTGATGCGTGAATGAAAAACAAAAAAAACTTTGTTCATATTTTTGTAGTTTCCTTTCATGTGATTAGATCATCGAAAGACCTTATAAAATTTGATCCAGGGATCATTTTTCTTTTTTGCTTTTTTTTTAACGGATGACCCACTTGAATACAGAGATTTGTTTGTTGTGATATGATTCTTCAATGAAATCCGACAATGATGACCATCAAATTCAGAATCAAAAGAAAAATAAATTGTTCACTGCGAACGAAGAGCATGTACATACTCAGACAATTTTTTATATTTAAAAAAATAAAAAACCGTACCAGTTCTTGGGCTCGAACTTACAAGTCAGTGAACTATGTGTTAGTGTTATTGTACCAAGTTAAAGTAGTTTGGTCCAAACTTGACACCAGCACTATTATTACAAATCCCCTCAAATTAAAAATATTGTCTTCAAATCACAAAAATAGTTCAAAAGCGATTATTCCTGATCTGGCTTGCACATGTGATAAAAACAATAACAACGAGAGAACACTTGTCAACAACCCACGCACTTCTGTTGCTTTGTTTTCTTTTCCACTCATTAAACTAAACATTTAACACAGACTTTCTCTCCTTTTTTCATCTCACGTTAAAAAAAATGACCATTACGAAACAGATAATTTTAGTAATCTGATAAGATAATAATATTGTTAAAAAATAAATAAATAGGGGAACGGCTTTTCATTGTTACACCTCTCTCTCTCTTCTCAATCACTGGCTTTCTACGATTTTTTTTATCCATACTTTGCAGTTTACATTGCAGTTTTTTCAAACTTGTATTTACGACCAACGATAAAAAATTATCCACAATAAAACGAAAAGGCATTGCCTTTTTCATTTTAAAAATGCTGAATAAAAAAAAATTCTCTAGTTCATTTTTGTTTGATCATCATTGCCAAAACTGGTGTCAGATAAATTCACAAAGCATTATTTAAACAAATTACAAAATATTTTCCTTGTTAAATGTTACATAATGTCGCAAAAAAAAAAAAAAAAAAAAAAACATACTAAGAAAAATCGTGATTAACTGACTTGTTCAACTTTTTTTACACGCGTTATTTTTCACAGCGGTAAGGTCTCTCTTCTTGTTTGTACCGATAATTTTCTCACACTATCCAAGCAGAAATCCAGACTTGAATAGAAAAGGCAATTTCTTCTTAAATAAATGGTCCACTACTCTTAAGTGAGACGTTCTTATTGACTAAAAAAAATTCATTGTCTCCTGAGAATAAGTAGCAAGATAATTGAAATTTCATTAAAACAAATTAAGCAGTGAATTATGACTCAACAAATAGAAGCAAGGCTTTCTCTCATTCAACATTCCAACCATTCATAATTGCATTCGTAATTAATTAAACATCTTATTCTTATTTAATTTATTGTCGTTCAAATGATCAAATCAATTGAATTGATATATTTTATTTTTAAATTCCCTTCACTTTTCTTTTTAAAACTTTGTCACTCGATTCAAAGAAAACTTTCCCTTTTTAAAGAAATAAAAATTTGGGAAGAAGCGACCCAAACATACACATTCATTACAGCAACAGGTGACAAAGTTAGTGGATATTGCTAAAAAAATGATAAAAAGATCAATCTTTCTCTAAATCATTTCATAAAATAAAACTTTGTAAAAGAAAAATAACACCTGCTGAAAAAAATATCTCTCCAACAGTTACGTAAAATAAAAATTTTCCTTAAATAAATAAAGAAAAAAGGGGCACTGATTATGATTAAACAGGTATAAAATTTATTTTGAAAGCCAATTATCTTGGAGAAAATGAAAAACAACTTTTTCAAATATAAATAGACGCCCTAGATCAAAATTTTGTCGCATCAAAAATTTAAATGGGTCACTTCCACGCGGTATCTCAACAAAGTGAATTTATTAATTAGATTAAAAATAAAAAAAATTAATAAATGTGTCAATGGTCAGCATCGGGATATTTTTATGATTTTAAAAAAGTCATAAAATAGTTCTTGTTAATGATTATAAATTAATTATTTCCAATTTAACAAAAAAAAAAAAAAAAAAAAAACGCAACATTTACCTGTTTTTTGGAGAATTTGGGCTCTTAGCATATCCCCACTGGATAAATGTTTCATACCGAAATCTTTTACAATGCGACTGGAAATTGTACCTTTGCCGGACCCAGGAGCACCTATAATAATCGCTTTGACTATCTTTGATATACTTCCAGGCATTTTCTTCTAAGTTAAATTTCAAATGAAAATCTAGTGACAACAGACTTGTCTTTCGGCTTCGCTTCTTTTGTAAGATATTTTCTTTTAATTTGAGTTCAAATGTTATGCTCCTCCTCGTGTTTTTGTTATTTTCTTTTCTTTCATTTGTCGAGAAAGTGGAAATATTTCTTTTATTCTACACTTCAGTTCTGCTTCAGCCTATTCGATATAACTTATAGTTAAATCTATTCAATTTACTTCATTAAAAACTTAACTCGAAACATAATCGCTTAGGTTAGTGATTTGATTTGATACGGCGATTTTAAATTAAAAGTATCGCCTTGGTTGTGTTGAATTATGACAGGGAATATTTTTTGGCATGACACCGACACGTTGTTTTGAATTCACGACATGCGCTATGGTTAAAATGTCTTAAAAATAAGCAATTCAATTTAAGTCTTAAACGAACTATTATGATATTAAGTTTCTCTTATTATATTTTATTTTGTAGATAAATCGGCTTTTAGCATAAATTAATTTAAACTATTTTAAAATATACAAGTGTCGTAAAATACGTATCGGCGTACGTAAAGTCTTGAAACGGTCGTTAAGAAAGAAGAAAGAATTTTGGGGCCAGCAGAGAAGTTTTAAGTTCATTATCTGGCCGTTATTACTTAAACTGTATTTGCAGGACGTTTTTATAAGACTAAATCACAAATTAAGGTTGGTATAATTATATCTTGTTTAAAACTAGTTGAAATGTTCTACTAATTACGGTTTTATGTACATAAAACGAAAAGCTAATAACGCACGTGTGTAAGAGTAACGACAAAAAGAATTTATTGAACTATTTTTTTGCCTCGTATTTTTATTTTGTTTCATTCTCAGAAGATGTGTGTCAGTTATATATTCTTCTATTTCCCGTTTTTATTTACTTGTTCATTTATAAGTTTTATAAGCGCATATTATGACCTAAAATAAATTATTATTCAACGCTCAGATGCACTGTTTTTAATAAATTTAAATTATTAAAAAATAAAACGAGGCAGACATTTTTTTTTTATTTACTGATATTAATCAGCGGAATTATCAATATATTTATGAAACTTAAAGATAAGTTTAAATCTCGAAGTTTGTATTTTGGGAATTTTTCTAATAAATCTTTTTTTTTTTTTTTTTTTTTTTATAAATTTTCTGAATTTTTTTAAAATAAAATATCTGAAATTTTAAAAACTACTTTTTTGTGTTTTAGATAGATATTTTAATTGAATTACAATAAAAAAAAATGCTTCAAAATTAATTTCATTGTATAATCGATATTATTATTAACCAACCTGTTGAGTTCAACGGTTGTTGCATGGTATAGAAAAGTTGTTTTTTTTTTTTTTTTTTTGGAGACAAGTATCGACTTGGAAACTTGCTATTTGAAACAATCCCTTTAAAAATGCTACTTATTTAAAGCTAACTTCAAACAAATTGAATGAAATGAATTCCTGGATCATCTTGATTTTCCCTCTTGTCATAGTTTTTTTTTTCTCTTCTAAAACATAAATAAAATTAAGGGAATTGAAAAAGTAAGTTTGACCTGGTTTGGGAGTTTTGTTGGAAATGAAATTTGATACTATGTTCTAACCGACAAAATTCCATTTTCCCTTTTTTTTTTTTTTTTTTTAAATAATTATTTCTAACGACCTTGTTTTTCTTATGTTGATTAAAGTGTAAGTCATTGATTTTTCAGACTCTGTACTTAAAATTCCTTGGCATAAATATGAAAAAGAAGAATAAATGTATATATTTTTTATGATTAATAAAAAAACAAAAAAAAAAAAACAAGAAAAGACACTGAAATGAGAAAAAAAATTAACTTTTTTTTTTTTTTTTTCCCCCAACATAAGAACTAAGATGATAAATTTTCCAGGAAGCTTTGGATTTTATTTACTTATTCTCCTTCATTTATTTAAAAAACTTTTTTTTTTTTTTTTTTAAATCTTGTAAAACAAAAAAAATCAAACAATGTGTTCCGCCATGTAGCGATTTTAAATGAAAAAAAAAGTTTTCCTATTTGTTCTTTATATAATGTTTTAATTTTGAAGTGAATGACTGAAACTAAGATTTATTTTAAAGATTCCAGTGATTTTTTTTTTTTTTTTTTTTAAACATACAAAAATTTAATTTTAAATGTTTCTTTTTCGGTTTTTTCAGTTTGTAAAACTAAAACATCAATGTCCAAGCTTATTTAGTTTTAGAGACGTATTTCTTTTTAAAGAGATTTTACTTCAGGTACGCTGACAAAACAAATGTTGTTTTAGTTCAGTTCAATCGAATGTTTAGGTAGGTGGACATTTAGTCTCTACTTGTCGTAAGAAGCACCTGTTCTCTTTTCTTTGTGTTACATCTTTATCTCCTCTCTTCCTAGTTTCAAATCCAGTGGATCTTAAAAATAAAATTCTTGAAATAATTGATTTCAACATTAAGTCACTTAAGTTCTTAAGTGTTTTTTTTTTTTTTTAAATTCATTCAACTGACAGATTGGAATTAAGTAGAGTCCTAACAATTGCGCTGAAAAATACCGGGATTTTTAAATGCCTGAATAACCCACAATAGCCATGGTCGAGTGATGAGACGATATCGTCGTTATACTTTGTGTGTATGTGTGTTCGTGCACCCGTTTCAGTTTTCAGATGTGTATTTTAATTTTCAAAAGAAATAGCCAGTAACTTTTACACACATCTACAGACATTAAAGTACAACACACATTTTTCTCACACGAGTCAAAACTCGGAATTTTACGTTCACAAACTGATGTTCACTTTTTACTTCATATAAGTTGAAAAATTATTTTAATTTTTTTTCTCCCCTTCTATCGAAAAGGATTATTAAACATGTTTTGTTTTCAATTATTATCAATTCACCACAAGCAAAGCTATAATACCACTAAGACGCAGGGGGAGGAACAGAGAGCAAGATAAAAACCTCTACTCCTCTTCAAAAGACCAAGGACCTATTTGTTTTGTCAGGCACTCTTTTGATGTGTGTGCATTATAAATAAACTCAAATAAGCAAAATAGACATCACTGGTTACTTTACAAGCATTTTGCTCTTAATTTATGCTCAGTACCTCGTTAAAAAAAAGATTGCAAACATGAATTACATATTTTAAGTTATCCACAATTAACAAAATCACTCTATTCATGAATAGGCGTTTTAAAATGTAAATTCTCAGGATACATACTGTCATGTTCACATGCCACTACAGTTTTAAAACTCAAAAATAATATCACATCCATATGACACCAAAAACATTTAAAATATAAAATCACTAAGATGCAAACCATCACTAAACAAACTTTGAATTTCATTCATCCTTGTTAATGACTGAAGCTTGAAACCTTAAAGAATAATATGAATTGTGAACAGTTACTCTTCACTTTGAAAGTGAGAATAAAAGTATAAATAAAAAAAGTTAGTGTGATATAAATGGAGAAATTAAAAGAAGCAAATTTATAGAAAAAAAACAAACTCGGTAACTGTAGTGTGGACAAACTCTGGTGGGCAATAAAAAGAGAGCAATATAGCAGGCACAACTACACACATTATATATGTTTATATCATTGTAAATAAAATCTGTTGTCAACCTGGTCTTGTTCATCACGGCTGGTGATGAGGATGATGCAACTAGGCTTCAAACAGACAACAAATTTCTGGAAAATTTTTCCAAACTATAGGATTACCAAAGAAAAAAAAAAAAATGTAAACCAGTACCCCACCAATTACAAGAATGTGGTGGACACCAAAGACAAAAATGAATACAACCAATCAAATAATGAACTGATACAACACAGGAATACAATAAGTAGCAGCTTCAAATTTGGAAATTTAAGTGTTAAGATGACAGCCACGCAAATACTGACTTTTCATTTCTTCCATATTTCAATATTTAATATATAAAAAAAAAAAACAAACACCAGAGCTTTGTCCCCGTTCCAAGAATTAGATACAGTTGGTGAAGTGGAATCCCTGCATCAGAAATGGGAAAGTGGATCTAGAGATTTATACTAACACTTCAGGTGTTTCAAATGCAGAACAAAAAAGGAGCTGTATTGTTATTAACAGGAAATGGAAGCCTGCATGAAATATAGAAAAAATTCACAAAGCTGAGCAAAAGACAAGCCCTGGAAGAGGTAGCAAAGATGTGTACCAGATAGTGGCACAACTCTTCATCAGGCATTTCATTGTCAAGAAAAATATACACAAACTTCTTTGGATCAGAGCCAAGTTCTCAAGGGATGGTGAACAAGTTTATAACTTGCCTCAAGGTACTGGTAACGCTATGCAATTTTTAAGAGGATTTTGACAACTAAGTCAAAAGTGTTTCTCCATATAAAAGAAAAGGACCCTGATCTAAAAGCAAAATTAGATTGGGAAGAAAATAATTTGAAATTAGGATGTCTTACTGAAATAATTAGCACATAACATCATAATGATGACCTCATTTTGAAACCTAGATCAAACACAAAGTGCAGTAACCACAAATCCAGACCCTGTTACGGATGTGGAATTCAAGGCCACTTTGGTTGTGACTGTATCCAAAGTAAACATCACAGATTTGGTCACTGTGGAAAGAAGGCTGACTTGACAAGTTTTGTTTCCATCAAGAAAAAAAACAAAACAAATGGAGACAGTAAACAATAGCAAGTCACAACAGAAGTCAAAGACATGGTTGGAATCACTATGAATAGTATAAAAATCATACAGGAGTTTAGAGCAATGTTTCTCAACCTTATTCTGGTCATAGCCCCCCCCCTCAATCAAATGTGAGTTCTTTATGGCCCCAGCATGCCAATTTGAGTTTTAATCTTCCCTCTTCCATTCCGCCCTGTCCCTCAACTTAATACATCTAGGAAAGTGGGAATATTAAAGGTTGTAATTTGGATAGTACTATGGTATCAGAACACTAACTCCAGTTGTATATCAATGAATAACATTATTTGGATAAACTCATTTATTTAAAAAACAAAAAATACATGTACCAGCAGCTCTGTCTTGTATGGTTTTAATGGGATCCCTGTGATTGATGCAAGACTGCTAAATTGTCAATGTTTGGCTTGAAAGCCATCAGATGTAAAACACCTCTTTCTTCTTTTTTTTTTTCTCTTCTCTCTCTCTACGTCAAGGCAATTTCAAGTCTTTGACAGTAGATGCAACATCCAAATGAAACCAAACTCAACCAAGTAATATACAGGGGGGGGGAAGCGAGTAAGAGCAATTTCACATCTTTCCAGAGTAGTGGGTAATTCTTATGCATGTTTTCTTTTGACCACAGCTTCTGGTATCCTCCATGCTTGAACCTCGCTTGAACTGCTGTAGTATTTTGGAGTTCAATGAAACTTTCTTGTAGAATGATATCAACTTCAGATGCATCAGCAATAAAGGGATCCACAAACCAGTGTGGCACTGTCATTTTGAGTAGATCAGAGAAGCGAGTTTTCATATCATTATGCAAATGCTGCGAATAAGCAGCATACACTGCTAGATCATCATCAAGCAGTTTGGTGGATATATTTGCTATTTTGCCATATTGCATAATCAGGCGGAAAAATTGAAAATTGAAGTTTAATGTGACTTTTTTATGGCCCCCTCATGCCAACTTGTGTTCTTGCATCAGCAATGAAGGGATCCACAAACCAGTGCAGCATTATCATTTGGAGTAGATCAGAGAAGTGTGTTTTCATATCATCATGAAACAACTTCAAATGATTAACATACACTGCTAGGTCATCATCAGGCAGCTCGGTGAATATATTTGCTAAGGGAAAAAAACTGTGCAAAAATGTTAATTGTGTTAATTGCCTCCTTGCAAGAAACAGGGTGAAGTCATTTCCTTAGATTTTCAAAATTAAAAGATAAGTTGGTGAAAACATACTTTAATTTAAACTTTCAATTATGAGTTTTAAATTTTGAGGAAATTGAAGACTAAAAATCTCCATTTTGCATAGATCAGATGAAAAAAATTACAATAAATATTTATGCTAACAAAATGTTTTATATTTATTTAACTTAATAATAGATTTAATATTTTATTTTAAATAATAATTATTAATTACAAAATACTAAATGTCCTAAATTTTCTGTCTACTCCCCCACCCTTTTTTTTTTTTTTTTTTTCAAACTTGGCCTTGTGGAATCTGAAAAATACCTCCTGGTCCCCAAGGGGGCCATATATCCCAGATTGAGGAACCTTGGTTTACAGGGAAAGAAAAACACTGATTCAAAGACTAACACCTGGAGCAGAAGATGTGCCTCAATAGCACAAATATGTACCAGCCAGTATTCACAAAGACAGTTTGCATTGCTGTGTAAATACAATAGGTTTAGCAGTTTATAGCCCAGGAATGTTCTCCAAGGCTAATTTCGAGTTCTAACTGTCTTTTTTTTTTTTTTTTTGTTAATTGTTGTTGTATTTTGATATTACCATTATTAGAGTAATCTATTTACTCCCCGACTCCATTTTTGTTAGAAATTTTTTTTTAATATGTTCGTTTTTGTATTGTACTAATCTGATTACAGAAGTTAATCCATCAAGAGACATTGACCAAAAAATGTAAAAAAACATAACTAGTTTGTTATCAAAACTTGTTTAAATGAACATTTAATGTCAGAATACAGTCAGTTAGTTCATATGTGAATGAGTGACTGTGTTAGTAAAGTTGGCTGTTTGTTTTTCTGTTTTCTTTTATTCTTTATGTGAATACAAAGTAAAACAAAATGGCACTTTAGTCATTTAATTGCAAATTTAGCTGCAGAATGGCAAATCTAAATTTTTATCACCTTAGGCTGCTGTGATTTTTGCAACGAACAGAACTCTTTTTATTTTTTTCTGTAGGATTTAAAAATAACTAGATATAGCAATTTTAAGTTATCTTAAAGGCTGTTTTTTTTGTTTGTTTGTTTTTTTAAGATGTGATTCTGTCAATTATTGAGCTTATATTCTGTGTGTATACAGAAATTTTTTTTTTTTTTTTTTTTTTAAATTGTGGTTACTGTGCTATGAAGTTAAACCTCTGGGCCTAAAACTTTTGCATACACAAATAAACAGTTAAATATGGGTTTTACTATAAGAAGATTCTATTTATTCTTTTAGTTAAAAACAATAGACTGTTCACTGTTAGCAACTATGAAAAAATTCATTCATGAATATCTGGAATATTATGAACATTAAAATTTATAAGCATGCATATGCCTTTGTTTACTTGTCATTTATAAATTTTTTTTTTTTTTTTTTTTTTTTGTCCCAGCAATGGAAACTCTTGAAACAGTTCCAAATGCTACAAAGCGACACAAGAAGATCCGTCGCCATTCAACATCCCTTGATATCCACACTCAGAGTATGAGACGCCCACCAGAAGGAGATAGCATCATTGAGAAGGAGCCAATGAAATTAGGACCCCCAGCAGCACCAACTGGGGCGAAAAAAAAGGTAAATGATAACAAGTCTGCTGCCACCAAGAGACGAAAACGCAGAAATAATATGTCTTCAGACAGTGGCTTAGAAACCGCTGAAGATGATGCAAATGTCAAACGATCACGGAATGAAACCAAGTCTGACTTTTTAACTTCACTTTGTCCTTTGAATGATATAAGCTCCATCCACCCAGTCCTGGATTGTACAATGGAGAGTACTTTCTCCAAGAAGTCTAAGAGTAAATTAGATGTCACCTGGGAAAAGGCAGTGTGCAATGCCCGGGGTCAGCCAGATGGTGCTGAGCGATCAATGAGAATAACAAAGATCACTTCTAAGAACCCTGAGTGTTCGATTATTGAGGAGAATGATGAGAACATGCTCCCACCGGAGAGTGGAGATGAGGGCGAAGAAATGGCAGAGGAAGAGCATGAGATCAAGGTGGTTGAGGTTAAGAAGATGGAAAAAATGGAAAAGAAAAAGAAATCATTAAAAGTAAGTTTTATTTATCTACAATGGATTACGTGTTATTTAGGACATCTCGTTAAATACGGTGGTTATGGGGCATAGACAAAAATAAGAATGAATTTCTCTTTTATGCGCACTCTTTCTCGGTTTTCCCGTCTGAATATGGTTATTTTATTTATATTATGACTGTGAAATAAGAATGAAGTCTCTGGCATATGTAAAATTGACTTTTGGTTTGCAGCCACATCATGTTGAAACACTGGTTTCCACACAATCGCTGAAGTGAAGCAGCATCTAGCCTGGTCAATACTTAGATGGGTGACCACTTGTTAATAGCAGGTGATGTAAGCCTGGATGTGCAGGTGGTGTAATGGATAATAACTTGGAATTTTTAATCGGAGAACTGAGTTCCAATTCCAGTTGAGTTTGTTGTATTCACTTACACACAAATACCCTTGGGAAAGGTATGAATTCACTGCTTCTCCACCCCAGCTATGAGTTAGTCAGGCTTGTATCACTGAATCATTTTCTCAAAAAAAAATTCTTACAATCTAAAAATATTTTTTTGCTTTAAATAATCTGCAAAGGGTTAAGTCATAGAAAGCAAAAACAATCAATAAACTGGACTTTTTCTATGTTAGACCAATTACAAAAGGTTGAAGATAAGACCACTTAGAAGTTTAATAAACTACAGTTTAATTAAAAAAAAAAGATCTTGCTCTTTGTAATTAAATTGATGAAAATAGTATCTGTATGAGAGCTACCTGAGTGTTTATAGAATCTGCACCTAAAATCATTGCTTCTGATCAACCAGAAACATTTTTACTTGTTACATGTGCTGAAGTGTTGTACTCCATACATTCCCATCACAGTAGCTGATGTGTTAACATTACTGAACAGAGCCTGTTATTTATAAAAGTCCCAGTAAGTTATATTTTCTGGGATTTTATCTTGACTTTGGATATAAACTCCTCCATTAATATTAGAATGTATTGAATAAAATGTATCAATGTGGTTGATTTAGGTAAGTTTGAGAAGAGTCATTAATATTTCAAATTTTGTTTGGTAGATTGATCTTTTTTCATGTTAAGTCTTTCAACTTGCATATTCTTTGTAAGAAAAGAGTTGGTTGGAGGCAGAAAACAAAGATACTACACCTGTCATCAAATTAACCCACATTGTTAAAGAGCTATCCACTTACATAAAAAGGGTCAACCAACCCTCCTGAGATTTATGTAATTAAAAAGTAAAGGAATTGGCAAAAAAATTTGAGTTTTTTTTTTTTTTTTTTTTTTCAGAAACAGTTATTTGTTTTTGAAAGTTGATTATTACTATTATCCTCTTTATCAGAAATCAAAAAAAAATCAATTGAAATATTCATTGCCAAATATATGCACAAGTTTAAAAAAATGTATAAAAAATCAATGCATTTGAATGAATAAATAAATAAATATATATATATATATATATATATATATATATATATGAATGAAATCTGTAAAGACAAAATGGAATTTTACTGATTTCAAACCATCTCTTACTGTGTGTGTGTATATATATATATATATATATATATATATATATATATATATATATATATATATAAAAGAAACAATTTTAGAGAAAACCTATGGCAAAGTGTAAAGACTTTTTGTGTGACACAATGAAATCAACTAGACTATATACCCAAAATATTAATAAAAATATATATATATATATATATAAAATTCTCAGTGTTCCCTTCCACATCAATGTAAACATAACTTTTGTCTGAATTCTTAAAGGGCATAACACATCACACATATATATATATATATATATATATATATATATATATATATAATGCACCATCAGATTTCAGGGTCACATTTTCTATCCTCTGTTACAACACTTCCCAGATATTTAAATTTTTGTACTTAATTCAGACAACTCCAATTTGTAGTTCACATCTGGAGCTGTTCCTCTTGCTGACAACCATACATTGTTTTCTTACATTTGATGGTTAGTACTTTCTTCTCACTTTCCTTAACTACTTTCTATAATTGTTGCATTTTCTTTTGTGTCTGATATTAATACAGTGTCATCTGCATATCTTATGTTGTTGAGACAGTCTGCCAATAACAAAATCCTGGTCTGACTTTTACCTTGATCATTCAAACTCTATGCATGGCAATTCCCCAATGTCATTTTTTAAAAGAAAAAAAAAATAACATATACATTTTCTTTTTGAGATGCCAACTGATCAGATTCGTTTATTTCTGTGACACTTATTTAAATGATTTTTCACTTGTGAAAATCAATAATTGTGTTAACATTTTCTAAGTAAACAATTTTCTTAAATTTCTAAACAAGGCTAAAATATGAAATAAATCTTTTCATTTATTATCACTTTTTAACCACTAATGATGATCCACTTGGCATTTTACAAGGTTTAAAAATATCTGTCATCACAGGATTTAGGATTACAAAGTAGGGAAATATTTCTCTAACTCTGTTTTATTACACTACAGTAACAAAAAGTTACAAGAGCAGGCCTTATAGTACTTTCATCTATAATCAGGACATTAATAAGTGAGTCATTGCAACTGCAAGTTTTATTCAGTGGTGAATATTGTTGAGCCTAGTCAGTACCTAGATAGTGACTGCTTTGGAATACCAAGTGCTGTAAGCTTGGATGTGCAGGTGATGTAATGGATAATGGTTCCAATCCATAGAGGTTGATAAGGTGCTAAACAAAAAACAACTAACCAAATCAGTGGTGGAAGTAAACCAAGATAGTTTGTCTTTCACTGCAGAAACCCCTCAAAAATATTCTAACAATACATCTCATTTTATACTCCCAAGTCATACAAGTAAATAACTTCAGACAAGGCAAATGTAGTGTGAAAGAGTTACATTAAATTTTTAAAATAATTAAAAAAATTGACTTTTTTGTTTCTTTCTTTTTTTTTTTTTTTTTTTTTTTTCTTTCTTTTGCATTAGGTCAAAGTTCAAGGAGCTGTGAAAAAATTGAAAAAGTTAAAAGAAAGTAAACCTACAGCTGGGAAACTGAAGAAAGGAGTTCTCAAGAGGAAACTAGCAGATATGGGTTCTTCTCCTGGTAAGAAAAGAAAAAAAAATCAATTTGATTACATTGAATTGTTGGTTATCTAGCCATGATAAAAAATTTTGATAAAATCAAGAAGTGCCCTCTTGAGACAAGATTCAGTAATTAGATGAACCAAAGCACTAAGAAACGCACATCTCTTCTATATTTCTATTGACCTTGTTTCTAATAACAATTGATATTGGCTCATTTTATAAATGCTAAAGTCAGAAACATTTCATTTTAGTAAGGTTAGTTATATTTTCTTATGTATTGGCTGGCATAAGGACATTCATAATTATACTTTGTTTTGTTAAGGAAAAATAGGATGAAAACTTTTCTAAAATTATATTCAATGTTGCCTATGTTATCTCTAAATTTTGTTGGTTTTATACAAGGTGTTCTTTAATTAGAGCCAAGTCATAGTACAATTCATACAACTGAAAGAGAAAATGTATAAAGTGACAAGAAAAATGATGAAAAGGAGAAATAACCACAACATTCTATATGTATGCACATAAGTGCAGGCAGGTGCATACGTGTGCTAAAATACACATACACACTGAGAAGAAGAAAGAAAAACGAGAAATATAAACAGTCAATTACTGATATCCTCCCTGGCAAGTGGACGGAGTGATTGCTGAAGTGTCTATCTATGAAACTAGAGTTGGGATGTTGAAGAGTAATACCAATCAGCTAAATAACAAACTTTATATTTGTATTAATTCTATATATTAAGACATGTGTCATTGAATAATTTAGACAAGTTTTGTTTATTTATTTTCAATTGGATCCTCTCATATTCATGGACAAGCTTCTTAGTATCCTTATTAAAGAAAGAGAGAAAATTACCATGTTGATACATATTCATTTATTCTGAGTACTTGGTAATTTTTTCTTCCTTTAATAAGAATACTAAGAAGCTTGTCTGTGAATATGAGAGGATCCTGTTGAATACTTAATGAAAACATATTGCCAAAATATACTCTCTCATACACATATATATATATATATATATATATATATATATATGAAAAATTTCTCAGAGTTAACCTGTAGAAAAAGACAATATTTATAAATGTGAAAGACAATAGGAAAACTAATAGTTGCCAGTGCATTTCATATCAGGAATAGGCAGCGCCCCACATAAAATAGCCCGCAAACTAAGCAGAATTTTAACTCCACTTTTCAGCACTATTAGTCCATCACACATAAAAATTCAGATGACCTCCTAAACAAATTAAAAAACATAGACATTAAAAACAAATATATGGCTAGTTTAGATATAAAATCTCTATACACAAATGTCCCCATAGAGAAATGCTTAAATCTACTAAAAAAAAAAAAAAATAACAAAAATTAAATTACCTCTACCTACACATAAAAGCATAAAAATATGCCAATTACCAAGCAGTGTTTCTTTAATTTTGATAACCAACATTACAGACAGAAATTTGGTTTACCAATGGGATCTCCTCTCGGCGGCGTTCTTGCTTGTTAATTTTTTGAATTTCTATGTAGTGACCCATTCAAAAATATTCTCCCTACAAACTCTTCATATTTCAAATACATAGACGACTCATTATTAATAAATCCACAAAACACCAATTTAACATCTTCTCTCCAAACTTAACAACATTGAACCTACAATAAACTTCACTTTTTAAACTGAAACCTCTTCCGTTCCTAGACATCATATTACATAGAAATAACAAACTCAATTTTGACGTTTACAGAAAGGCTACAAACAAAATTGATTTGATCAGTTTCTACTCAAACCAATCTTATAAAATTAAATCTGGAATTATTATAGGTTTCTAAGAGCATTAAGAATCGGCAGTCCCCAATATTTTACTTAAAGAAGAAACATACATAGAAAACATTCAAAAAACTACAATACCCATATCGTTTCATCCACAACACAAGAAGAAAGGTATACAAAATATACAACCGAAACAAAAATAACATAATCTGCAATAATAAATTACATGAAAACAGATACATAATACTACTGACCAACTCTGTCATGTCCACTATCCAGAGCAACCTATCCTATCTAAATAATCTTAAAATAGTCAGAAACACTTCCAAAACCATTATGGATATACTCAGATCCTCAAACACTAATAGCAATAATATTTCTAAAGCAGGCATTTATAAAATAAACTATCTCCACACATGACAGTAATTGACGTAATTTCAGTTAACAGTATGAAAATAGTGTTCTCTAAATTCTTCCAGTTGCTAAGGACATTTTGTTTTGTTATTATTAGTTACTTTAATAAATTCATTTCGTTTCACCATGAAAAAGTCCATGTCAGCTGAAACATGCCGGCAACAGTCTTCCTATTGTCTTTTGTGTGTGTGTGCATGTGACAGCAGGCAATGAAGTATTAAAAAAGAAAAACATGCCTAAATTTTAGGTTATCCTAGTCATGTGTTTTCTATGAATAAAAGTCTATTCTTGCAGTTATGAAATGTAATTTCCTTTCTATTTTCTCAGTCCAGTGGTAGTCCCTAATCTCTAATATTGCATATCATATTCTGCACATCACCTTACTGCTTGAGCACTTATAAAGTCTCTATACCTTACCTATGCTAATTAAGCAGTCATTTATATATCACTGCAGCAATATTGCCTGATGATAACTTGAGAATATTTCAGTTGAAACAAAAATAACAAAAAAGAAAGATAATGAATTTATAAATGCAAATTTACATACAAGCAGTGAGTCATCTACAGAAACCAAGAGATAAGTATGTAGATAATTGGTATTCAACATTTTTAGAATAACATTTTCATTTTGCTTACTTTTATATCAGTTTTTACCAAATATGCTTATCTGTTATGTTTATGAAGTTTTTCTGTCAACATTTCTTTTTGTTTACCTATCATCAAATGTATTTATAAAATCAATCGCCTATTGTTTTATAGGAAGAGCAACAAAAGAAAAATGAAATATTTTAACCTAGATTATGAAGGTTGACTTCCAAAACACTAAATAAGTTACTTTTTTTCTCTCTCAGTAAAATCATTTAAAATAACTTCATATACTTTTTATATTGGGTTATATTGCAATCCTATAATGACCATAAAAGTTTAACTAAAATAATAGGTCAGTTGATTTACTCAGAAGTATTCTATACTGGTAAATATTTCTCTTTTATTTGTATTTGATGTCATAAAATTGATAGCTTATATAAGACCTGGATTATAATATAGAAAAAATGAGCTAACTAGAATAACTTGAAAAGAATCAATCCTGAATTGGTTAATGAAGTCTTTATTCATAATATTGTTTGGTGTTGATATATTGTGTCCATGTTTTTGTTTTTTTCTTGCAGAGAGAGGCAGTAAAGTGAAAATCAAGAAATCAGATTCCAAAGAAGAGAAGAAAGACTACAAAAAACTAAGGAACAATTTTGAGCTGATTCAAAATTCTAAGAAAATTTGGGAAGAATTAAGAAAGTATGTTAAATTTTAGTTTTTAACAATTCATATTTAATTGAAATATTTTTTTAGAATAAGTGGGTGGTGGACAGTAGAAACTGGTGCCAGTTGATGTGTCTATCTTCGTAGATGGAGAGACAGTAATGACGATGAGTAAATGAATGAGGAAGGTTGAGATTATTTAAAAATATTAGTTAAAAACAAGAAAAAAAATAACTTTGTCAGTGTGTGTAGAGAAGTGTAAAAAAAAAATAAATGTAAATGAATAAATTTCCTCAAAGTGTCTTTGTCAAAATGCTCTTTTGTATCACATTATTGCAATTTAATGTGAAAAAATATATTAATCAAAAACATGGAAAAAAGCAATGGAAAGATGAAAATTGTATTGAAAATGGATAAGTTCTTTAAAACCTTTAGCAAAGTTTTTTTCGTGTTGAGAATAATCAGTTTGTGATTAATTTAATTGCTCATTCTCACTGATTTTGAGGAATTAGTTGAAATATTTCTTTTAAATTTAAACAGATAAGTTGACTTCAAATGTCTTTATATTTACATATGAGAAAATCTGTTTCAATTTATTCATTTGCTTTTCAGACATGATTTGACCGTAGACAAGAAGACAAAGCTGTGTACTGAGCTGTTGGATATGACAAAAGGCAAAATGCAGTTGGTGAGTTTCACAATTTTTTTTCATTTCAAACTAGCAAGACAGTTTGTAGCATTTAACAAGACCCGGGTCTTACTTTCTACTGAATTTAATGATGCACTCACGGAATAATGATGATATAATAAATGCTAGCATTAGTCAAAATGAAGATATTTTAAAGGTTGTGTAAGTTTTTATATATATATATATATATATATATATATATATATATATATATTTAATAAGCTAATCTCAGGATTATTTTAAAAAAAAAAAAATGTTTCATGAAATTCATATATAAGTAGCCCATAATAGACAATATAAATTCAATGAGTAATAGCTTGTATATTTTAATTTTATAACAACTACATATGAATTTACTCAATAATTTATGCATTGTTATTTAGGTTTAATCAAAATCCGCCATATTTCTGTTATTTCTGCTTGTTCTGCTCCTTTCTAGTTGGCTTTTACTCATGATGGTGCCCGAGTTATTCAATGTCTTGTTCAGCATGGTAATATGGAGCAGAGAGCAGTGGCATTTGATGAAATGAAACGTAAGTAGCTGATGGCTTTCAGATTCATTTTTCTTTTGTCATAAAAGTATGAAAATCTTGCTTCTTCCTAAAACTAAAATTAAGTTTAATTAATTCTTTAGTTATCTTTAATTGGCAATTGGTTAAAAAAGTGGTTAAAATAGTTTTTTTTATGTAAGTATTATATATAGGTAAAAATAATTAAAAAAAAAAGTTTATATGTATTAAAAGCTCTGTTAGAAAATATATATATATATATATATATATATATATATATATATATATATATATATAATGTCACCTTCAAGTCCTTCTTGGTTGTCCAAATGTCCGACACTCATTTCATCAATGAAACGATCACTTCAATCCAGGCCTTGCCTTATCCCACATTGTGATTAGTTTTGATCATAAGTCCAGCAAGGATCAAATTGTCAGGTATCTTCATATCATGCTGGTCCAAGTGGAATGAAAACGCAAAAAAAAAGCAATAACTTGAATAAAAAAAAAAAAAAATGTTTTTATATATGTTCCTTCATACATTATTTGGTTAGTTTCGTTGTTAAAATCTAGAAGCTTGCATTGAAGTTAGATGTGACACTTTGGCTGGCTTGGGAAGTTTGGCACAAGGCTGAAACCGAGGGCTGTCTTTAGGCAAATAGTCATGTGAGGTCGTTCTCGTCTGGCGTCTGGAACAATTCTCTGCTTTTTTGTTTTGATTTCTCCATATTTATTGTTATTTGCCTAAAATCAGCATATGGGCATGACATGGTTGAGGAATTCTGTATTTCCCTTGTGTTCAACAAGAATCCCTTTCTACTGTCTAGGTTCTGAAAATTAATTACATTCCCAATTTGGGAGATCCCCCTCTCTCATGAATAGCAGTCACAGGTATCGATCCGCCCTGATAACTTCTTTTTTCTCTTACTGGCATCTCACATCAACACTTTCCTATGGGTGGGGGCAATTCCTCCACCTACTTCAATATTTCATCTGTACCTGCCACCTTGGCCACTCTCTGATCAATGCCTCTTGGCTGCTTGGCGTGGCTTAACTCTAAGGCCGTTAATCAAAAGAATTATTGTTTCAGATTTTGCCCATGCAAAATTTTCCATACCTTTTTTTTGTTCAGAATTAGACACTAACCAAATGGCCCCTTCCACAAGGAACTTTATTCCCAGATTTTTATGATAGATCAAATCTTATCCATTTCTCTTTACTTCTGTTTTTGTGACCAGTACTTTTAGGGACAGGTCATCAATCGTCAAAAGAACGCCACATGACCCTCTTGTGAAAACTTTTCTGATTTCTGGGAATTAAGCTTTCTTTCATTGTTCTATTCATTTATAATAGAATATAATGTAAAAATGAAACAAAAATATGAAAAATTACTAAATGACAAAATCACAAGATCTTACAAAAAAAAAAAAAACAATATAAAACATGAAATTAATTTAGAAGTTAAAGAAAACTGGATTAAGAGAACACTAAAAACACCACCAGTATATATCATAATTTAAGAAAAACAAAACCATAAACATTATTTTTACATTGGAGGGTGGGGAATTATTGAGGTCTCAAGTTAATGGTAATAATTAAATTAGGTGTTTTTAAACTTGTTATAGTGAATAATAAATCTAAGGTATTTGTTGTGATTGTTAAATATGCACTGGCAAATTATTTTTTTTCCTCTTTAAAAAAAAAAAAAACGCTTTTTTTTCCCCAGATATCATTGTTGCCATGTCTGAGTCAAAATATGCAAAGTTCATTGTCCGAAAATTTTTGAGTTATGGGTGAGTTTGACCTTTTGACTTTGCTGTCACCAACATATATATATATATATATATATATATATATATATATATAAATTCCATTTTTTATCTAAACACTCAAAAGTAGCATATATGAGGCATATTTAGGCAGCAAGTATTCATCCAAACAAGTTTGATTAAAATAACAGACAAGGTCTGTTTGTTTAATTTTTTTTTTATTAAATTTTTCCAATTTTTGGACAAGTTGTTGGGTATTGTGCTTGAAGTTGTGGATAAGCTGTCCATGAGCCTTTGGACAGCTTACCCACAACTTTAGGCACAATACTTGACACTTTATCTAAACATAGGAAAAATATAAAAAAAATTAAACAGACAGAACTTTTAAATCAAACTTGTTTGGATGAATATTTGCTGCCTAAACATACCTCATATTATGTATGCTACTTTTGAGTGTTTAGATAATTAAAAATAAAGAACTTCTTATTCTTATTCTTATTATTCTTATTATTCTTCTTCTTATTCTTCTTCTTATTATTATTATTATTATTATTATTATTATTATATTTTTTTTTTCCTTTGATTTCTGGCGTTTACATTTCTTTCGGGTCCCTTGAGGGACCTAAGGTTAGAAATGGCGTCATGACACTTTCCACTGACAAAAAAAAAAAAAAAAAGAAAAAAAAAGATTACATAGATAAAGCCCTTCGTAAGGTGTGGGCTGTACTTGTTAGAACAATTTTCTGTATCTCCTTGAGGCATGGACTTCCAGGTATCCCTTCAATTAGTCTACTGGAATCTTTTCCAACCAGTCCTAGGGCTCCAACTACAACAGGGATTGTTGATGTTCCCATATGCCACATTTTCGCGATTTCTATTTCAAGGTCCTTGTACTTTGACAACTTTTTGAATATCTTCAAAGATACATTGCAGTCGGCAGGGACTGCCATATCAATAAGGAGGCACCGTTTTTGTTTATGGTCTTTAATAACAATATCTGGGCGGTTGGCCTTGATTGTTCTGTCAGTGTGTATTGTGTAGTCCCATAGAATTGTAACAGATCCTATCTCCGTGACCGGGTCTGGGTGGTGTTCATACCAGTTTCTTTCAGTTTTCTTCCCATAGAAGTTGCAGATTTTCCAGTGCAGATATTGGCCCAGTCTGTCATGTCGGGTTTTATATTCAGTGGGTGCCAACACCGTACAACCTGCTACAAGATGATCAATCGTTTCTGGATATTTATCACAGAATCTGCATTTTGGACTGACACAATATTTTAGTATATGTGCTTGATAATTCCTAGTTAGCAAGCATTGGTCCCTTGCGCAACAAGGATAAAACCTTCAGTTTCCGCTTTCAACCCTGCACCACGTAGCCACTGATGGGTGCGGGTTTTTTGTCGTCAGCTTGTTTGATGCGGGCAGAGTATTGGCCATGAAGCGGTTTATCTTGCCATCGGCTTCTGTAACTGGTCTGTTGCATTTCGTCTTAGCTATCTTTTTAGGTATTTTGCAGTTTCAGTCGATTGTATTGTGCTGTAGTTGCATCTCTCGCCCATTTGGAACTCCATTTTGAATTTGTTGGCTTCCTTCATTCGGAGTAGAGGCGCTTACTACTTTCATGTTCCTTGGCGCACACCATCATCCAGTCTTCTGTAGTTTCCAAATATCTTTGGAGGCCAATTGTTGTAGTTTTGTAGGACAGTTCTAGTTGAACTAATCCTCTGCCTCCTTGGGATCTGGGCACATACAGACGGTCGACATCAGCTTTGGGATGATGCATGCGATAGCAAGTGAGTAGCTTTTCGTTTTGGCATCCAGTCGCTTAATTTCAGCTATGGTCCAGTTAAGGACATTAAAGCTGTATTGCACCACAGGGACAGCCAATGTGTTTATGGCTGATATCCTGTTTTTTGAGTTCAGCTCAGTATTTAGTACCAGACGTACACGCCTGTAGTATTCTTTTTCTTATTTTTCCTTCATTTGGGGGTGTTGTATGCCATCTCCTTCGCTAATTCCTAGGTACTTATAAGCTTCACCATGCTCCAGTTCACTAATCTTTGTGACAAAATCTAAATCTATTAAGCGTGTTTCTGTAATTCTACCTTTCTTGAAAGTTACTTTTGCACATTTATCTAATCCAAGTCCATACCTATGTCGTCACTGAAGTATTTTACAATATTGAGGAGGCCTTTCAACTCATTGTCGTCTTTGGCAAAGAGTTTGAGATCATCCATGTAAGTAGGTGATTGAATATTTTCTTATTTATTTTGTAACCATAGCTACTGTTGTTCAGTTCATGTGTAAGAGGGATTAAGGATAAACAAAACAGAAGGGGTGACAGAGAGTCTCCTTGAAAGATTCCACGTCGGATATTCAGACGGTTGGATATGGCAGTGCCCCGGTGTGACTAAGGTATAGTTTGGTGTTCCACATTCCCATGCTGTGCTTTAGGAAATTTAATACCACGGGGAGACTTTGTACATTTCAAAGTCTTAAGGATCCAAGAATGTGGAACACTATCAAAGGCTTTACGATAATCAATCCACGCTGCACTTAGGTTCCCGCGTCGTCTCCTGCAATTTTCCAGGATCATCTTATTTATCAGAAGTTGATCCTTGCAGCCATATGAACCTCTTCTGCATCCCTTCTGTTCCAGCAGGAGAGTGCTGTTTGTTTCGAGAAAGGAATAAGTACGGTTCGTCAGTACAGATGTGATCAACTTATACGTTGTGGAGAGACATGTTATCGGTCTATAATTTTTCGGGTCGTCTGTTTCAGTTGCTTTTGGTATGAGGTATGTCATACCTTCAGTAATCCATTCCGGGATTTCATAGGGATTATTTACAAGCGTTGATAATGTTTTTGCAAGAATTTCATAGGTAGATGTGAGATGATACAGCCAGAAATTGGGCAACTTGTCACTTCCTGGGGATTTCCACTTTTGGGATTTCGTTAGAGCTTGCCTAACATCATCTGTGGATATATTTTCCCATTCTTGCAGGGGTGTATCCAGCATTCGTTCTTCTTCATGCCGTATCCACTCTGCATTTGGGTTATACTCCTTTGGGCTGCTCCAGATATTTTCCCAGAATCTCTGTACATTATCAATCGATGGTGGCCTTTCTACATGTATAGGTGTTTTTCCAATTTCCCTGTAAAATTTCTTAAGATCTGTTCGAATATTTTATTTTGGCGATAGAACCTACAACGTTTTTTCGTATCGTCTTGTTCTCAGCGCCTTCAGCTGAAGTTTCTGCTTCAGCATTTCCTTGATTGATGGAATATCAATTAGGGATTTAATGTTATATTTCCGCTTGATCTTTTTGAATTTACGTGTGGAAATATTAGGGTTTCTGGTGAGCTCATCTAATATAGAAAGCTCACATCTGATTTGTTTTATTTCTCGAATCAGTTTGGTTTTCCAAGCTGGTTCTCTGTGTCTCTTAATTTTATTTATTGTCTTGACTCAAGCTTCCGAGTCGCTGCTAAAGCTGTGGCGTATATGACGTTGTTAACTTCTGTGATGTTTCCGGTGGTTTATCTGTTAACAGTGTTTCCAGAGCAGCATTGTATATTTTCACGATGTGCCTGTTGGAGTTCGTCATATGGATTTTGGGGCTGGTCTCTGTCTGACAATTGTGTGAATGTTACTCTGCTGAGCACTTGGATGACGTCATTTTTAAACCCGGTGATTTCAGCTCCATGGTTTTCAAGGAATTCTAACTTATTGTCACTGAAGATGACTTCAGGTGAAGTTTCTGGGGGACTGTAGGTTGTGTTTAAGGTAGAGTCTTGGGTTTCATTTACTGGGAGATTATTCCGTACTTCATTCTCTCAGCATCCACCCCATACTCTGTTGCATTCCTTATTTCTACATTCGTCTCAATAGAGTTTGAGTGATGGGTCATAGTATTTTGTCTTATATGTAATTTTATCTTATCTATTTCCGCCTGTGAGAGTCTGTTGTTTAGACGATGTCCCTACGTACATTGGCAAGCATGTTTGGATTAAGGTTAGGTCTCACATCATTCCCCACCGTACTTCTCCATATTTGGTATGTTTGATTGGTGGTGTTCTTTGCTGGGTTTTTTGAAAGTGCAGTGAAGAAGGATGTCATGACTTGTCGATACTCTTTTCATGGGCTCCATTTCGTTCGTTTACATTTTATTAGTCGATTTTTGCATAGAGTCACTTGGTCCAAGGTTGGCAATAATCCGGTTTTGGTGACCAAGTGTCTCTTCGTGTGTGGAAGAGTTTGTTCCAGTGGCAGACTGGTTCTCAGACTGGTTCCTCTCTGAGTGACGGCCCTTGTTGCCCGGTTGACGGCCGATCCGGTATGAAATATTATTGGTATTCATTGAAATTAGTAGAGATGCGTTTTAACCTTGACCGCCAAGGGGTAGTTATGTTCAGATTACCAGCTGTAGGACGAATCTCGAAGAAGATCCAGGAGCATGCCCATACAATGAGATTGTGGGTTTTTGATATAAAAAGAGAATATTTCAAAAGATTGTGTGGTATTCAGTGGGGTAGACTATAGTAAGTTTTAACTTATACTAAGTCGGAGTGACCACTCCAGGGGGGAATAAATGCATTTTAGTATATAGACTTAGAGAAAAAAAAAAAAAAAAAAAGGGAAAAATAAATACAATATGATCCCTGTCAATGCGGATACATACACATGCAAATTATATATATACACACAGGAGAGAGAGAGAGAGAGATATTAGTAAACATGTACACATATACGCAACGACAGAGATTTGGGATGCTTAAAGTAATAGTGAAAAATAAAGTGAAAAATGGACACGGATGTCCGCTAAAGGTCGGGGGTGTGCCGAAAATTTGAAATATACGTTAAACAAAAAAAAAAAAAATAAATAAATAAATAAATAAGAGGGAGCTGAAAGGGAAAGAATTAGCTGGAGTCAAGAATTTACAGTCATAGCAAACTACACGAAAAGTAACATTTAAAAGAATAAATGCTACATTTACCGTTTCTTCCTACTCCGGAGCATGGCAAAAGTGATCTTTCACAAATGTTCAGTTCTCCGTCGCCAACGACAGATACTTATCAAATTTTATGGGGTAGGCTGGACTTATGCTACAGATTGGTAGGGGAGGGGGGGCTGCATATCAAAGAATTCATTAAACAAAGGGGTAGAAGCAAAACAGTAAAAGTTATACTTTTCCGGTCATCTCTCATCCTACTAGCCGCTAAAAGATACATTTTTAAATTTTCACTCAAAGACATGATAGTCAAAGGGCAGAGCATTGTACAAAAATAACACCTGAAGCCATGAAAAAGGTAAAGATAAATACAATATGATCCCTGTCAATGCGGATACATACACATGCAAATTATATATATATATATATATATATATATATATATACACACACATGAGAGAGAGAGATATTAGTAAACATGTACACATATACGCAACGACAGAGATTTGGGATGCTTAAAGTAATAGAGAAAAAGTGAAAAATAAAGTGAAAAATGGACACGGATGTCCGCTAAAGGTCGGGGGTGGGCCGAAAATTTGAAATATACGTTAAAGAAAAAAAAAAAAATGAATAAATAAATAAATAAGAGGGAGCTGAAAGGGAAAGAATTAGCTGGAGTCAAGAATTTACAGTCATAGCAAACTACACGAAAAGTAACATTTAAAAGAATAAATGCTACATTTACCGTTTCTTCCTACTCCGGAACATGGCAAAAGTGATCTTCCACAAATGTTCAGTTCTCCGTCGCCAACGGCAGATACTTATCAAATTTTATGGGGTAGGCTGGACTTATACTACAGATTGGTAGGGGGGGCGCTGGATATCAAAGAATTCATTAAACAAAGGGGTAGAAGCAAAACAGTAAAAGTTATACTTTTCGGTCATCTCTCATCCTACTAGCCGCTAAAAGATACATTTTAAATTTTCACTCAAAGACATGATAGTCAAAGGGCAGAGCATTGTACGAAAATCACACCTGAAGCCATGAAAAAGGTAAAGATAAATACAATAATTATTATTATTATTATTATTAACTGATTTCATGACAATTTATTTTTCAACATTTTAAAAGTTAAATAATGCTTAATCATCTTTGGTATTTATCAAGTATTTTCAATTTCTCTTAACTTTCTTCTTTTTTTTTTTTTCCAAGATCCAAAATGGAAAGGACTTTGGTGTTTAAATCTTTATGTGGTCATGTCCGACGCTTGATTCGGCACAGGGTAAGTATTTTGCCTCAAGTTCTTAGGCCAAATGTTATTTATTGAAATATTTGGACTGGTATCTTCACCTTTGTTAAAAGTGAAGAATTTTAAATTGATTTTTTTGCTTTATACAAAATATCTTTTATAATTTTTAAATACCTTCAGTAGTTGAATTTATTTTAATTTCTTTATTTTTTTCTTTCCAAGGAAGCTTCTGAAATCATAGAATTTGCCTACAATGAATATGCCAATGCCACTCAGCGTCTAGCTTTTCTGGAAGAATTTTATGGACCAACTTTTACTCTTTTGAAGGTGACTGTCTTTTATTATATATCTATATTATATATTTCAACTTTTTCTTGTTCTCTCTGCGTATTTCAACTTAACATCAATTTACAAAAAAAAAAAGTTGAATAATGCAGAATTTGTATTTTAAGGTCTTTTTTATTGCAATTGTAAACTAAATGTTTTGAAGAAATATTTTGATATGTAAAGGGAGAAGTGTAATCAAAGCTTGTGTCAAAGAGTTTTTTCAGAAGCCTTCTATTACCTTGACAGATTATCTCATGACTTTTAGTACATCAATATATTATATAAAATGAAAAAAATTAGTTATATAAGAAAAAAAATCTTCTCATACCTAAAACAAATAATGTCCGTCAGATTGACAAGACTTCTGGGTACACATCAGTGTTTCTCCCATTGGGCACCAGTATGGAAAGTTATTTGATAATCAAGTCTTAAAAACACTGACTGTCCATAGCATGGACTAGTCAGGTTGTGGCTATCAATCTTTACAGATTATCAGTGTGCCTTGTTGAGGGTGATGGCAAAGATTTTTTTTTTTTTTTACTGAATTCAAAGAGCAAGTCTGTAGTAATCATGGGGATCTTTGGAATAGACACTCTTTGCATTTTTTTTGCTAACTCCAGTTAGGATATTTGTTCAGATAAGATGTGGGAGAATTAGGCCAATTCCATTGCACTATTTTGGAGGGAGAAGATTTCTGAGAAGGATGGCAAGTGTCCCAGCTTTTAACTGAATCCTGTCAGGAAAAATACCTGACAGCTTAAGAGATTTGTGCTATTCAGTTGGTTTTATGTTTAAAACATCTGATAATAACAATCATAATAATTTTAGATTTTAAAATAATTTTAAGAGTTGTACAATGTTTGAAAACACAAACAGAAAAATATCAATTTTTCTTTTTCTTTTTTTGCTCTTATTATTGAACTAAGAAAACAAAGAAAATAGCTATTTTAATCTCTTAGCATCATCCATTGGCCTAGGAGGTCAGTATCATATGTCTGACAATCTTTTTCTGAACAATACCAATTTACCTTCAAGAATGTTTGGTTGCAGATAATATCCAATACAACCTTTTGATCTGTATGTACAGATTAGATGGTTGAATTGGATCTTATCTACTCAACAATTTTTTTAAATTTAAAAAAAAAAAAAAAAAAAAAACAAACATTTTGTACTTTATGGCAAACACAGTATATCACTACATTTTGTTGGAAATTATATATTGTATTTTTTTTTGTTTGTTTATTTCCCCAAATTTCAAAGTTGTTTTTTCTTATTTCTAGACTGAAGATGCAAAGACATTGGAGGATGTTTTCAATTTGCATCCTAAAAAGAAAGACATGATTCTGGCTAACATGAAAGAAACTTTATTGCCACTCATTGAAAAGTAAGTAAAACGCTCCCTCCTTTTTTTTTCTTCCAAAAGCAAGTTATGAATTTGTTTATTTTAGGAATAAACGTGAAGTGTGGGGGACCACTCAAACTTTACATGAGAATGGTGATGTTTAGGTTGTTGCTTTGGACATCTTGAAGGCTTTTCAATACTGGTCTTCTCTACAAGGTTGTGTTATTTCTGGACAAATTTTTGAACAGATTCTGTCTTTCTTATTAAATCACGAAATGAAAGTTATCCTGAACTGCTACTCTTCTAGATCTGTTTGCATTAATGCAGATGTCTCCCCAGGGCTCTATCCTTGGCCCTATTTTGTCCCTAATTTTCATCAATGACCTTCCTGGTGTCATCAGGTCTCAACTCAGTATCTATGCTAATGACAAGTATTTACTCCTGTCTTTTCTGATGAGTTCAATAAGGTCAAATTGGCAGCTGATCTCAAAAGTGACTTAAAACCTGCTGTTAACTGGGGGCCAGGAATGGCTTGTTAGTTTTAACTCCTCTAAAACAAAACTGCTTTCTATTAATCATCAGAGAGATCCCTTTCTGTTTCAACCACCTCTTAATTGCTGTTGTTCCCAGGTTCACACAACGTCCTGGATGTGGCGTTTTTGAAGAAATAATGTTGCCAGCTATACGTTTTTGAAGAAATAATGTTGCCAGCTATACGTTTTTGAAGAAATAATTTTGAGTGAAAAATTACATCAATTGGCTATGCAAATGAATTAGTTTATTTAATATAAATAATGAACTCATGCCAGATAGAAACATTTGAAACCATTTACTTTAAGAATAAACAAGCTGTGGTTTAAGGACGTTATCCTCAAATTATGTTTACAAAGTATATATATTTAATATATATGTGCAAACTGGATTTGGCATTAAATAACCCATAGTGGTTGATATGCCATAAAACCCCAACCAACCAGCCAACCAGGTTCACACTGACCCAGGGTGGTAGCACCTGTTATGGGCAAATAATGAACCTCCAAACAAAAACAAAATTCTATGAAAGTATAAAAATACATTTTTATGGTACAAAATAGCAACAATACATTTCATACCAAAATGACCAAAAATACATTTTATATAGTTGAAGGCATACAATTGTGTTCAAAATATATTTAGTTGAAGCCATAAAATTGTTTTCAAAACATTTAGATTTCAGGAATTAAGTAACCCATAGAGGTTGATATGCTGCCAAACAAACAACATGAAAGAACTTTTTCATTACATTAATCCTACAATTTCTTAAAGATCTTCAAACTGTATTCCAAAATATCACTTGAAAAAAAACAACATAAAACACATATCACTGCCTCTAGTAATTATATGCACAAAAGCCAAGTATCATGTACCATGTATTCAATTGTGAAAAAAAATAACTTATATCATTTTTATTACTTCAAACTCCCGAGAAAATTAAATTTCAGCATTAAATAACTGATTTAAAGAAACAAATCAGTCAAACCCTTTCTGTGTTCCATCAGTGACTCGTGTGCCTTTTCGGGCCAATGTTCTCTGCTAACATGAAGTTAGGTCATGCTAGACAATCTTTCTCTCCAGAATTTATCTTACATATTTATAAGTTTACCATTCATCCATGCTTTGAATATTGTGGCCACATATGGTCTGGTGCTGTAATATATTTAGTGATTCTTGAGAAAATCCAAAGAATCTGCAATCTGGTCCTGACCTGGAACCCCAACTTTCCCTCCACCACCACTGTGACTTTTCTATGATAATTGTTCTGAACTTTGCTGTATGGTAACTAGATTTTATAAATTTAAGTATACTACTAAATTGACGGCAAGGACTCATCATTTTACATTCAAATTGGCTAGATATAACTGTAAGTACTTTGCTAACAGTTTCTTTTCTCACCTGTGAAACTCTCTTCCAGCTTCTTGCTTTCCAGCCAACTTTGATCTTTAAAAATTTAAATGCAATGTTAATCATTATCTATTGTCTTCTTGACACCTCTTCTTTTATTGTTCTCACTTCTTAATAATGTTTTTTTTGTTTTCTTATTTCACACTCAGTAACCCCTTGTGTTAGTGGTTTTATTGCCTTACTTGGGTTAAAATGATTAAAAAAAAAATGAAAACTTATTTAGAAGAAATGTTAAATCTTTTAATTTGTTGGTCCTGTTACATCCCTCTAAGCATTTGACCAAAAGCAGTCATCTTTTTTTTTTTTTCTCCACAAAATAAATATGGCTGCCTACTTTTGGTTTCTTGGTCACAGACCCAGTTTTGTTTATCAAATTCTCTCTGCTATAAAATTGGCTTACATTTATTTTTTAAACAAACGTTTTAAAAAAGGCTTTAAAAGAGTGATCTTTTCATGATTTCAGCTATGAATTTTGATCTGTACAAATATCCATTTTCTTCATTTGTTGAAGTCAAATTAGTTAAATTGACTGTTTTTGGTGTCTATGAATGAAAAAGCCAAGCAAAATAATGTTGATCTACATCCCTATCTTTTCTACAAATTCAAATAAAATTTATTTTGAATTGTTTGTCTTTTAATAAATGACAAATATTTTAACTTTAAACTATTTCTACATTAAAAGTGTCTTTATCATAGAATGTGTCAAAAATATATACACTATTAATAAGTATGGTTTTGATATGCCAATTATATTTTTTTTTTTTTTTATAGTTATCTGCATATTTTTATTTATTTCAATTTTTTTTTAACTTTCTATTCTTTGATATACAGTTTTCAAATATGGAATTAAAAAATGTGATTACATAGAGTTTTGGTAAAAAGTATACTTTTTAATAGATTTTTAACAAGTTTAACATTATCGAAAAAATGACTATTATGTAATGCTAATGTCTTAGTTTTAAAATTCTTTTAAATTTTTCTACCTTGAGATACAGGTTTAAAGATCAAACAGGTATTGGAAATAATTGATATTATTGAAGAGCCCTGTCTTGTACAGTCAGAGATTAGCTTTGGTCAAACTGTAACCTTTGTTAGATATGCAAGTGGGATTGAATATTGAAGAAACTATTAAAACTATCATTTTGTAGTACATTGCCACCAGTGTGCTGAATGACATGACATTCAAATTTGTCTTTTCATCTCCTTTTTGCAGGAGTATTCTCACTCATTCAATTGTGCACCGATTATTTTATGAGTATTTCCTGTTTGCAGACAGCAAAGCAAGAAGTGTAAGTAACCTTTTTTGTGCAATTTTGAATTACTCTTTTCAAAAAAAAAATTACTAAAGAATCCCATACTGGGAAATTGTCTGTCCTTTCTTTTTCTCCAAGCTTTAAAAAAAAAAAGAATTGAAATATTTTGGAAGTCTTTGAATCAAAAGCCATCAGATGAATTTGTTAAAGTGATTCCAATAACTAGTTTCAACACTTTGTTGATTGTTTTTAAATCATTGTGAATATTTGCTGAACTGGAGTTTTTTGTTTTTAATTCTTTTTCAGGAAATGATTTCAGAACTTAAAGAAGCAGTTGTAAACATGGTGCACTCACGAGATGGAGCACGTGTTGCTATGAAATGTATTTGGCATGGAAACAGCAAGGTTAGTTTTGTTTTTAATTAGATCTTTTTAAATTATTGCTTTTTTTTTTTTTTTTTTTTTTTAGATTATTCTGTTTGAATAATTTTGTGTTTTTAATTAGATCTTTTGAATAATTCTGTTTGAATAATTTTGTGTTTTTAATTAGATCTTTTGAATAATTCTGTTTGAATAATTGTTTTTAAATTGATATTTAAGATCTGCAAATGATGTTTCTGGCAATATCTTAACCTAGAATCCTAAGCAAATCACTTTGTGTAATTTGTGTTGAATTTAAACTTAGTTTTTGATAGGCAATCATTAAAATAACAATGTGCTATAAAATTTATGATTCTCAATCTTTTTTTGTTTTTTTTTAAATACCTTTTTACCAAGTCAGAAGCTTAAATGTCGTTTTTATTTAATCTCTTTGCTTTCTTCTATTATCCTCTCAATTCTGGAAATCTTTTATTCTCTTAATTTTGGGAGATTTATGTTATTTTGTTTTATGGACATGATCCATGAATTTTTCAAGGGTGGGTGTTAACAACTAAGATTATAAATTATCTCATGCCTCTGCTCTTTTTTTTTTTCTCTCTTTAACTGTATCTTCTCATTCTCTCCTTTCTCTATCCCAAACTTTGTTGTCATTTCCAGTTTTCCTCGGGTCACAAGTATGAGAGCCTCGTGAAGAATAAACTCAATACTTGGTCATAATAGTCTACCCAACTATCTCGTTAACCATTACCTTATGTCAAGGTGCTCCCACTACTTTCCAATCTGGTTTTATCCAAGTGTTGTTAAAATCTGAATTAGTTTAATATACAGAAAAAAATAATATGGAATACACAAATATTTATTTTTACTGCATTTGTTTTATCTTGCCATAAATAAATTGAATATCTTATAATCTTTAGGTCCACATGACTTTTTATCTTTCACTTGTCTCTTGGTACCCAGCCGGGCTATCATTTTCTTTCATCTTTGCCCCTCCACCCCAATCACCTTATCTTTTCCCCCAGTTCTGTTCCACTTAAAACTATGGGCCATTCTCAGAATGTTTGACTAATTTCAGCTCAGAAAGTCCAGGAATGAAGCGGATGTGCTTTTCTATCTCGGGTCAAAGTGCTGCAATAGTCATCCTGACAAACGAACAGAATAATGATATAGATTTAAAATTTATTATAAAATATGACTTCTTTTTTTTTTCTCTCTCTCTCACATTGACCACCTTGTATAATTTAATGTATTTGTCATTTGCCGCTCAAGGATGGTCATTGACTTTGTCTTCTATTTAAGTCTTGAATCACTATTCAGTTCACTGCTAATTTTTTTTTTAAATGAAAAAATATATAGCAAAGCCCCTCAAAAATGTATACCCAATATACTAAGTGTTATTTATATTAGGTGTAAATAACAAGAACCTCAATTTGTGAATATATGTAGGAATGGATTTCATTACCAAAGTGGTTAAAATTGAATGGCATATTTTTTTGTACAGCCTAAGTAAGTTACAAAATATATCAATGTATGATGTTGTATAAGTAAATTATCTTATCAGCCAAACCAAAAAATTTCTTTCAGAGCATCCTGTCAGCTAGTTCTGAGTAGTTAACTGCTTAGGTAGAATATTGCTTTATTTCCAAACCAAATGCTACAAATTATTTAAAAATAAAAGTGCATTAGTTAATGTTTAATGCAAATAAAATATAATCAGACGCTTAAAACTTTTTCTATATTTATTTTTATTTTTCAGGACCGAAAAGCCATGGTGAAAAGTTTCAAAACTTTTGTTGTAAAAATGTGCAAAGAGGAATATGGCCATCAAGTGTTGCTGTCAGTTTTTGATGTTATTGATGATACCAAATTGGTCAGCAAAGTTATTCTGGAGGTAAGGCATTTTAGTTTGCATTTATTGTCCTCATTGAAACTCTTTGGTTGCTGCTATACTTAAATTTTTGTCAGTGTTCTTGAGCCATTATAATGGTAGAAATTTATTTTTCTAAAATTAGAGAACTCTTATAGGATTAGATCCATTTAAATCTGAGCCTGTGTGCTGAAAAGTTTCTAAATTTTTAAGATGAGGAATTATCATTTATTCTGACTAGGTTATCACATTGTTTCAGCCATTGTACACTCTGGCCATCTTCAGATGCATGTTGCAGACGTTTTAGACCAGTCTCTTTATTCAATCCAACAATGTCTCAGCTAAAAAGTTCTTCAAAATGAACATATTAGTTCCTATTTTACTAGTATTCAAGGCATAAATATTGGCTTTGATCTTGTCAAGGTCTCATTTTAAAAATAACACACACACACACACACATATATATATATATATATATATATATATATATATATATATATATATATATATATGGTGTTATGCTGAAGATGCTTCATCTCAGTGTCCATAAACTGGGGGAACAATTAGAAATCTGTTAAAATTTTTGTTGTAATTTATGATTTTTTTCTTTTCCTTTATTTTTAATCAAGGCCTCAATTTTTTTTCCCTTTCCTTACCAGCCACTACCAATAACCGTAGGCTCCAAAAGATTAACTTTTTTCAAAAATCACTTGTTTAACTTTATAGTTGTTAGTAGCATAATAAAAACACCATTAAAATGTTTTGGATATAAAAAATATTAAAATTTTTTAAATTTGCCTTAAAAATATATGGTAGAAATTAACTGGATGAAATAAACTTTGCACTGATATAATAATATATTAAAAATATGAATTAGAAAAAATTGGTGAAAACATCAAGTTTAAGACAAGACTGGAAATTTCTGTTGAATAATTTGCTTCCCAGTATAAAAGTAGATAAGCTGCATTAAATCATAAATTTTGATTCTGTCCTGCCCCCAGGGTAAAATTTTTAAAACTTATTCCATTGGAGTAAACAGTTTTTCTCTCTGTCCTCAAGATGAAAGAGTATTATTGCATTTTATCATCCTTGGTCTTAATTTGGTCATAAAAATCAGGTTCATGTCCTAAGTTCATTGAAACATCGTCGTTATAATTTCTTCCCTCCTTTTCACATATGTACCAGTTATTGTATACATCAGGGATTTTCAAACTGTGGGTACTGAGTAGAAAAAGAAAAACAAAAATACGCCAGTGAGAGAACAATGCAGAATATAAACAACTCTAAATGTTACGCAGCACTCCTAAATCATTGCTAATTTTTCACCGAGGTAAGCTTGTATTATATTTTTTTTTTTTTTTATATATATATATATATATATATATATATATATAGTAGCAGCCATAATATAAGGTACGGAAACAGCAAAGACATAAATATGTGTATTACTTAAAAAGTAATGCATGATTAGCAATGAAATTTTTACCGAATAAAGATTAGGGTGTAATGCATAAATATTATACAGAGTTACAAAAATTTACATAATAGTTTTTTTTTTTAAATAAAGATTAAATGGAACAAACTACTGGACAAAAGTTAAGGAATGATGTTAATAATTTGTATAAACTTTTAATTTACATTGTTAAAAAACTCTATGGAGCTTTTCAACAATAAGTAAACATTCATTTATCATTAGGACTTTATTTTTAAGCAATATGGCAAATTCTACACGCAAAACACTCTCTTTTGAAGAAAAAAACTCATTATCACTAACTATCAAAAAAAAAGTCAATTTCAGAAATTTCTGATATAGTTCATATGTCTAAAAGTGTCGTTCATTGTGTAATTAGCAGGTATAAAACCGATAAAACGTTAGATCCAAACCAAAAACTGGCAGACCTCCAAAAACATCGCAAAGAGATCAAAGGTTGCTCGCAGGTTAAAAAATGCAGGATTGCATGTCTGTATTCCAGCTTCAAAGCCTCTCATTTCAAAGTGAAACCAAAGGGCACGCCTGTTGTATGCGAGAGAACATGTTTGGATTGACGCACAATGGGATACAGTTCATTTCAGTGACGGGTCCAAGTTTACTATATTTGGTTCTGAGGGCAAAACTTACGTACGCTGTAAAACAGGTGAAAGACTGTCTTCTCAATGTGTCAAGAAAACCGTTAAGTTTGGTGGCGGCAGTGTGATGGTGTGGGGAATGATTTCATCTGCAGGAGTTGGCCCTATCATCCGCCTACATGGCAATATCAATGCTGAGAATTCCAAAGGGCTTCTTCAGCAGCATGTGGTACCAGGATTACACCATAATCTTTATGAATCTCCTATTTTCATGCAGGACAATGCACCTTGCCACAAGGCTCAGAAGGTTATGACTTTATTTGAAGAAGAAGGAATCGCCCTAATGAAGTGGCCAACCCAGAGCCCTGACCTGAATCCACTAGGAAATGTTTGGAAGATGATTGCAGAAAGGGCTCAGAAAAGAAACCCGAAAAACCAGGATCACCTATGGGAGTTATTGAAAGATGAATGGGAGGGAATTACTGCTGATTTTTGCAAGAAATTAATTAGATCATGTGGTCGACGATGCAGAGAAGTCATTGAAAATAAGGGGATGTTTACCAAATATTAAATTTTCTTGATATTTTGTTCACAATCAAGTATTAACAAGATCATTCCTTAACTTTTGTCCAGTAGCTTATTTCCTTTGTTCCATTTAATCTTTATTTAAAAAAAAAAAAAAAAACTATTATGTAAATTTTTGTAACTTTATATAATATTTATGCATTACACCCTAATCTTTATTCGGTAAAAATTTCATTGCTAATTATGCATTACTTTTTAAGTAATACACATATTTATGCCTTTGTTGTTTCTGTTCCTTATATTATGGCCGCTTCTATATATATATATATATATATAATATATATAAAATGTCTGTTTTTATTCAGATTATGTATCTTGTTCGTCAAACTCATTGCAGACTTAATGACGTTAGTTCTCTTTCACAAAGAGACCTTGCACCAAAACTTAGGAATGAAGGTGGGCACTGCATTCGTCTTTTTTGGGCACTGAAAGCCATTAAGATTTTTGAATAATTCAGTTGCCTCTGAAGTCATGTCTAAAAGTGAATTTCCTGACCCAATGTCAGTCAAGTACCAGTAATTCTTTCTGTGGTAGTAAGATGTGTTCATTTGAAGTCTCAGAATTTTCCAATATGTGTGGATCATAAGAAATATACATATAAATTGTCAATGCTAAGTAAATGAACCTAGTAAACAGTTTGTATTTGATCTATTGCATTAGGGTATAATGGGTTGCATTGCAAAATGTAGTTCTTGTTGTGGGTCACAGTATTAAAAAAAAAAAGTTTGGAAATCACTGGTATAGATGAAGTATTTTAAAACTTCTCCAATCATAAAACTCATTAGAGATTTTTTTTTTTTTTTTCATATTCAGAATTTTTAAATAAGGTGTAATTTTTCTACTTGGTGATTGGAAATTTAACATGATATCTTTCTGATCGAAAGCTTTATTGGTTTGATCAGTTTGAAATGAATTTACTTTATATTATGTACAAAAAATGACTCTGAACAAACGTCTTTGTTCAGTGACTGTAAATATTGATATCTTGGGGGTTTGCTGGTTAAAAAAAAAAAAAAAAACGACAATCATCACTCCATCTTCATTTGTTATCCATTATGCACCATTCCGCCCATTTTTTTTTTTTACTCTTTCATCTTTCTTTCTCACTCCTATGCACCTTCTATTTTATGTTTTTAGATTCATGTTGACCATATCTACACATATACAATCTCTCTCTCTCTCTCTCTCTCTCTCCAAACATGGCTGAGGCAAAAAATTCTTCTTCTAATTATGCTTAATTGGTTAATGTGTTAAGATGTTTTAGACAGTAGATTGTCTACATGTGTTCATCTTGTCTGGTTTTTGCACATCTGCACATTGAGAGCACTTCTCTCGACTGAGGAAAAAAAAATGGTGTTATATGGCTCTCCCAGTCCCAGACCCACACTGACTATTAGCTAATCTGCCCAGTATCATTCATATGCACATAGCACCACCTACTCTAAATAGGTCTTCTCTTGACAGCCCACTGTGAAAGAGGATGCAACTCCTGGTGCTTACAGCACTGCATACAACCAACTCAGAAACTTTTATCGCACTGACCTGATTCTCTGTTACACTCCCCACTGATCTTCTGATCACAGCACCAATATGCATTAGTTTCCTTCTGGTGCACCTTTGCAGGGGAGGTACTTCATCCTCAGTGTTGTTGCTATCCATCTCCTCTGCAGCAGGAGGCACATCGAAAATCCAGGAATCTATTTCCAACTCCCCATCACTTATGGATGAATCATCAGTGTCGCTTGTGACAAAGCATTGGTCCCATGCAGGTCAGAGGCCTTTAACATGATGCAACATGCCATCAATCAGTACAGATTGTGGACTAATGATCCCAATGACCTTCCTAGTTGCAAATTTGGAGGTACATCAGTTCTGGGGTGGTCTCACCCACATCATGTCCCCAACTTTATGTTTTGTGCACATGGTGTTAGTGCAGGTACAGCATCGATGCCTTTGAGCCCAACCTCATAAGTATGAAATGCGTTAGCTGGTGCAGCCTATTGTGGAAGAGGATACAACTCCTGGTGCTAATAACACCACATAAACCAACTCAGTCTTTTATCGGGCTGACCCAATTCTTTATTACACTACTAACAGTGGACTTTGTAAATAAATTGTTTGTGTTTATAAAATGTGCTTTAATTTTATTTATTATTGTAGGAAATTTTGAAATCATTGAAAGAAGTCGCAATGGACTCTTATGGGCGTAAAGTGTTGCTGTATTTGCTTTCACCCAGAGACCCAATGCATTTTCACCCAGACATTGTTAAAGTGATGCAAGAAGGAGACACAAATGAGTTCAGGTAAAAGGAAATCTTGAACTTCTTTCCAATTACTTTGTTTTAAGTTTGAGTGCAAATTTTTCAATTTGTAGGCATCAATTATTCTCCACTCATTTTTTTTCTTTTGTCTTGTACATGGTTTCTTTCTGACATTAAGAATATTTCTTTTACTAAAGGATTTTCAGAAAGATTTTAATCTATTAAAAGTAATTTTGAACTGCAAACCTATTTTATATAGGTTTAGGAGTCATTTCTCAAACTTGCCTTTTTTTTTTCCCATTTATTTTTATAAGGAAAGCTTGTACATAAAAGTAAATTTTCTTGAAATATGTTTGGTAGTGTTAGATTGATATATTTTGTTTAAAAGGTAAATAAAAATAATTTCAAACCAAAGTAATACTTGTTAGTAACCAATACTTGATCGAGATGATTTCTTGCTAACATTCTATTATTTATTTATCCAGTTACTTTGTTTCTCAAAATCTCACAAAGACAACCATTTATTTAAAAGTTTAAAAGTTTCTTTTCTTCTTGAACATGCCTTATTACACAATATTTAGATTGTGTTTTCAAAATATTTTTATAAGAAATTTTTTTATTGTACATATCAGTCATTACTTTTAATGTTATTTGTAAGAAAAAAAAAAAAAAAAATTTGTTACCCACTCCATTTAAGAGGATTGTAACTCTGGTAAATTTTACACATACATTGTTATTTTGTATAAATTCTTAAAGTCTATTGTTAGATTTGATCTTTTTTTTTTTTTTTTTTTTTATTTCTTTGCTTGCAGTAAAAAGGATGCAAATGTGCGGCATAATGAACTCTTGGAGGTTGTCTCAAAGTCCCTCTTGAAAATTGTGATTGAAAACACCAAGGAACTTGTTAGTGATAATAACAGTTTACTTTTCCTCTTGGCTATCCTTTCACATGCAAAAGGTATTTCTTTTTTTCTCTTTCTTTTTCTTTCATGAGGTAAACGCAAAAAAAAAAAAAAAGTCTCTTACAGGTTTAAATCTTTTTTCCTACTTCCTATTGCTTTGTGTTAAAGCAGAGACTACGCTCCTTACTGTTTGTATTGTCTCATTCGTTCTGGAAGTCACATTATGTACTTTGTTGCTTAAACTAAACAAATGAGATACCTGCCATTGGGCTAGGTTAGATTTTATTGGGCAAGTCAATGCTTTCACAATAAAATTGATATTAATTGAATGAGGGTGGATACTGTCATATACTAAATATAACTACCTGCACAATTATTTTTAATTTACCTCAATTTGACTAATACAACATCCCATATACCTGATTATATTATATTACCTTGATTCCATGACATTCGTGTCTTATCTATTGAGTTTACTTTAATCTTACTTACATTTTTCTTGTCCCCCCCCCCTCCCCCGAGTTCTTCTTTTTGTTTTCCATTCTCATATATCTCTTAATGATAGACCAGGGTTTCTATTAGATTGTTGTGTGATGGGGTAGGGGTCATTCTATGAATTTAATGTTTGGCAAGGTAGGTAATGTCTTGCATGAATAGACTGTTTTTAGCTTAGAACTTCTGGGTTGTGATCTGTGCCATTCAAAAGAGAAAAAAACGTTATCCAAAAATTTACAAATATTCTTTACATTTATCTTGACATCCTCAAACTTGAAAGGACTTATAATTTTACTGATTACAATTCTATCCCAGAAAATTACTCCCTGCCCTCTTTCTGTTGTCTTAAGTCATGTAGATTGACATAATCTTGAGTCCAGCCATCACATGTAGGTCAACATAAATGACTGCCAAAAAAAAAAAAAAAAAAATAAAAGTTTTTATTGTCCAACTTCTAATTCACACGTTTCATCACTTTGTGATGTTTTACTTAAAGGTTTAATTGATTTTAGGTTTTTAGCCTGTCTTCTTAAAATTCTGCATCTTTTCTGTTACAACACCAGTTTCTTCAGTTATTTCCTTCTTGGACAATCCACTTTTGTTTGCCTTTTTCATTTGTCCCCAAATCTCTTTCTAAAGCCCAGTTTTCCCTGTTGTTTTCATTTTTTTCTCTGATCAACATTGTGTTTGACACAGAATAACTTTACAATATTGTTCCTTATATATTACCAGTGACAATCTTTCTGTAAATTTTATTTTATATATATATATATATATATATATAGTTGGGGGGGAATATTCGTACACAATGAATTTTTTTTTAATCAATATAGAATTTAAGATCCATATAATATTTGTATACCATGGCATAATGATTCAAAAAAAAAAAATCAGAGAAATGTTATATTAATTAAATTATATAAAATTAAAAAATTTGGAGGCAAAACAGAATTTCTACAATGTTAGAATACCTATTTATATTCTGTAGCATATTCTTTACTCAATTCAACAGCAATCAGTCTCTTTCTGTAGCTTATGATCAGTGATTTGGAAGTTTCCATTGGTATTTTACTCCATTTTTCTTTGTATATTCTCTTTAGGTCAAGGATGTTTTTCGGAATTCTTTTATTAACTTGAATTTTTCATAAACACCACAAATTCTCTATTGGATTCAAGTTTTAGGGACTGTGGTGGTCATTCAAGTGTATTGACATTGTTTGCAATAAGCTATCTTTTTGTAGATTTAGCCATATGTTTAGAGTCATTATCTTCTATCTTGTTGCAAAAGCCATTCATTTGGGAGTCCAAGCTTTACAACTGACCTAAACAAATTAGTCCAAAACATCTTGGTATGTTTTTGAATTCATTCTACCATTTATTATCTCTAAATTACCCATGCCATTGGCAGAAAAACATCCCCAAACCATGATATTGCCACCACCAAATTTCACTGTTGGGATTGTGTTCTTTGATGCAAAGGTTGTGCCATCATTTCTCCAAACATGAGTCCTTGAATTAAACCCAAATAGTTTAATTTTTGCTTCATCTGTCCATAAAGCACTTACCCAAAATGATTCAGGTTTATTTTTATGCTCATGAACAAATTTTAATTGGGCATCCCTATGTTTCTTCAATAGTAGTGGAGTTTTTCTTGGAAAATGCGATCTTAGTTGACTTTTATGAAGTTCATTGCTTTGTAACAATAATACCTGATGCTTTTAATTCTTCCTGTATTTCTCTCCAAGTAGTCATTGAATTTTTTTTTTATTTTTTTTTTTAACTTTGCACTGAATTCTTCTTATTGCATTGTGCACCAGATCTTGATTTGTTCTCAGCAGTTTTCACATTTTTATAGTTAGCAATAATAGAGCTTTCCAGTTTGATAGTTCCTTGCCTTCTTCCATTATTGTGCATGATTTGTGTGCAGAGAGTTTTACTTAATTTTTCTTGTGTACGTACAAATATTTCCTTTTCTGGACACAGTGTAAAAAATGTCCAAAAGTTCTGCATGTCCGAGCACTTTCAGCTAGAATTTTAGCCATTATCAAGGATGATTTTATTTTTACTTTTAATTGAATGTATGAGTTGTGTTATGTATCTAGAGGTCACTACTTACATTATTTGGAATATTGTCCTCATCTTTGTTGCCATATTTATCACGTTTACTGTAAATCAACATTCACCGGACAGTATCTCAATTTCAACTCCCACCATCTATACAGCATAAAAGGATCATCTGCTGCTTACAACACTGAGCAAAAGTCATAAGTGGCAACCCAGAGACATTAGATAAAGAATTGGTCAGTGTAAGTAGTAGCCTACAATGTAACAACTACCCTGGGTACATGGCAATAGCCACAATAAACTGAGACAGGTGGGTAAAAGAGGACAACAACACTCAGAAAACAGTCTGCCTGTCTTATGTTCAGCTAGACTGGGTTAGTGTATTTCTTTGATAGTTCTAAATGAAAATTCATCTTGCTTATAGTTGACATGTATTTCACTTTTGTGGAAGTTGTTAATGTTATTTTTGTCTGTATGTTCAGTATCATTAGTTACTTTGGAACAATAGTCTAATCTGGTGATCAATGAGGTAGTTAGGAAAACCATTAACTAGTGTGTTTTGCATTATTGACTTTAAGGACAATTTTGATAACTGCTACTTTACATATAAGTGGACATTCACTCTTAAAATTAAGGTGACAATAGTTTCTGCTAGTGTTTTTTATTTATATATATGAGGTGGTGAAAGTATTTTTACTGTATTCTATGAGAACATTTAAGAATGGGAGTTTTTTTTTTTTTTTTTGGGGGAATAGATTATATATATATATATATATATATATATATATATATATATATATAGTTCATGCATTCATATTGTAAATATTAATAACTATACTATTAAATATGATGTCAAAGCACCAAATAAGTTATTGTAAATATTTCTAATAAAAAAAACAAGCCAGGCAAAATTCACATGTATCCTAAACTTTTCACCAGTAACTAAGATTGCATATATTTAAGTTAGGTACTTGTTGCTGAAAAAAAAGTTTTTTTTTTTTTTTTTTTGTGTGTGTGTGTCTGTGGTCAATGTAATATTTATGATTAGTGTTTCTGCACTTCTTTTTTTTTTCTTCTTCTTTCATGTGAAAGACACATGGACTTAGAACTTCATGTAATAAAATCGTCATATTTTAAAACTTTCAGGACTTATTCACAAATGAATGAAATTTTAGGAAATCTGGGTTTTTAAAAAAAATTTTTTTTTTTTAACATTATCTCACACTTAATTTCATGAAATTAAATTGCAATCTCAAAATTAGCTTATTAGTTGAAAGCAGAACTCCTTGGAGAATGTAAATCATCAATTTTTTTTCTTTCAAACTACTGCACATTTCCCAAAAATCTGCTCTGAATCATAAAAATTGCAATAAAACTATGACGTTATTTAATTAGGAAACCTTTTAATTGCTTTTATAAGTTGATTTATTAAGGACACTATTATTGCCTTAAGAATTTTTTTTTTTTTTATATCAATGAACACTGAATTTTTACAATTGTTTTTAATGATTTTTTTTAACTTATAATAATCTACAATATGTAAAGCTTTTAAAATTATGCATTACTTCAATTCTGTGATCTACGAGCAACAGGAACAAGTGCATAGCACTGCTACTATTTGTTTTAAAAATCTATCAGATTAATTTAAATCGGCTAATGTTGTAGAGTAGTTTTCACAGTGGAGGCTTGTATTTCACTGAGTCGGTCCTAAAAAAGTTTGCTGTGTCATTAACTATTATTTCAAGTTCCTAACGTTTTGTACGTCACTCTAGTTGTGGTGGTTGATACTTTAAGGTCTGACATTGACTGACTCACCAACTCCACTCTGAGCCCCCTGGCGACTGCTACTACTACTTTTATATGTGGGAGAGTCTATTAACAATAGAATAGGTATGTTCCGGTATAATAATATTTCTCAAATAAAGTTTCAGAAAAGTAGACTTTATTTTTGGAGTATTTAAAAAAAAAAAAAAATACTTTTTGTGAAAGGGTTTAATTTTTTTTCTTTCATTTGTGAGTGTGAACGATAAAAAGTACAGCCGGCCATATGTTGAAATTCTGGTAATAATATGATCACTAAAGTTAAATAATGCAGAGACTTGTCAGTATATGGGAAGTATATGCAGTGGATAAAAGTTTTGAATTGGAAATCAAACACATACTATAAAGTAGAGCTGGGGCTTTTTTATCTCAGAAGCACAAAAAAAAAAAAAATATTAAGATTGCTGATCCAAACAGTAATTTGAGTTTTTTTTTTTTTTGAAGAAGAAAGTAAAATAGAATAAATAAATAATTTGTGATTTTGACTTTCCATTAAGTCATTTGTTATTCTTTTTTTTTTTTAGGTGATACAACAAAAGCCTTGGAATCTGTAGCTGAGATTTGTGCTGAAAGAATGGACAGCAGCAGTTTGGGTGATCTGCACATTGTAGAACACCCGGCTGGACATATCACTCTGAAGAAATTGATTGCCCTGGACAAGGAAAAAATGAAAAACAAAGAATCAGGTAGGATTGTCTACACAGTGGGGGATTTGTCTATTGATTTAGTATGACAGGCTACATCCAAAGAGCTCCTAGATATGACATTAGTATAGTTCAACTGTAAGTCTACCTTTTCACACATTTTTAGGCCCTACTGCTGAATCTGAACTAAACAGGGACAAAAGAACAGTAGTTTGGAACAATACAAAATTTATAATTAAGATTCTATTATAGTTAATATAAAATCAACTAACTACTATTATTTTGATTTTATTTTTTAAAAAACAAATAACAGGTTTATAAATAATGGAACACAAAATAAAAATTAAGTGCTTTGGTTTTTTGTGAAACTTGAATGAACCACAGGGGAGAAAAAAAAAATTTCTGTATATAGAAAATGAATGCCTAATAAATGTTTATTTATTTAAACATATCAGCTAAATCACCTTGAATAAAGTTGAGCATTTATTTCCTAATGAAAGTTTGGAGCACTAAGCAAACTTTTAAAAACTTCAGCTGAGATTTTATGTATTTGTTTCTAAAATAACTTAAATACTTTACCAGATAACTTTTTGAACAAGTAGAAATATTTAAAAAGACATGAAAGACTTAACTTTATATTTCTCTTTCAGTGCTTTTCTCATTAGTGCTGATGAACACAGTGCCTGAAAGTGTATTGAAGTCGTGGGCAGCTTGTAACAGAGGTTGTTTCATTTTGTTGGCCCTCCTTGAACTGGAACACCCGGAGGTCACTGCTCAGTTGTTGCCAATTTTGACCACAATGAAAAAATCGCTCAAGATGCTCAAGTTCAAAGGGGCACAACTCTTGCATGATAACATTTTATACAATACAAAAGATGATTAAAAAAAATCCCCATTTTTTTTTTTTTTTTTTTTTGCTGTGAGCGGTGAATGTATGAGTGAGTAATGTATTTTTTTTCCTTTTTTTTTGGTCTCTTGAATGTGTTGGTGTTTGCTTCCAAAAACATCCGCTGATAAAGGAAAAATTTTGTATGTAACTTGACAGAAAAATATATACATTTCCATCAAGTTCCTTTTGTTTTTGTTAATGTCATTCATTCTTCTGTTCAAATTTCATAAATACTGAAGTGAAAAACCTATTCATTTAAATCCTGTTAGCTTCATAGCTAACAAGACTACATGAGGCTTCTTTTTTTCTTTAGTAGATCAGCATTTGCCATTGCACAAAAAAAAAAAAAAAAAAAACTTTAAAAATTCACTTTCATTTTTTATTCATGAAATGAAATTCATCTTTATTAGTAAAGTATATACATTTGTGTACAGTGGCGAATTTGCAAAGAAAATTATTATTATAATATTACTTCTCTCCAACAGAATATATAAAAGCTTTGAAACTATTTTACAAATTATAATAATTGATCATTTTTATTTTGAGGAGAACATTTTAAAGTAATCCGAGTAGTGGAAATTGATATGTAAGTCAAATGTTTCTTAAAATGACAATAAGAACTAAGATTGGGGGATATATATATATATATATATATATATATATATATATATATATAAAAAATGTCAAGTATGAGGTTTCCTGATTTCAAGTGAGCAATGCTGTTTTTATTTTTTTTATAATTCTGAGAAAGAATTGGACATAAATGTTGATGGGTAGAGCATTCAACTGAGTTTGAAATGATGTTCAATGCCCTGTACTTGGATCAGCTAGCACTAAAAAAAAAAAAAATCTAAATTGTACATTTAAAAATCCATGATGCCCAAATATAAGGTTGGAATGAAAAAGAATTTGTAGTTGAAATAAATATGCCAATGTAAGAAAAATTACATGTTCAAAATTAATATTTTTATATATTTTAAGGGGCACGTGAAGAAACAAAAAATTAAGTCTTGAGTGGAGAAAATGATGCAATATATGGTGGTTGGACTGGGAGGGAGGGAGGTTGTATTTTTTTTTTCCCCATTTATATCAATCCTAGACATAAAATAGTTTAATGATCTGAGAATAAGATCAAATACAATCTAAGCTAATTCTGTAACAACAGTGATGATATATCTCATTTTCATTGTATTCTCCCAGATAATTTTTCTGTTTATAATCATCTGTATGTTTCTAGGAAGCATAACTGCTTCCTAGAAACATAAGGCCTACACTGCCTCTTTGTTATTGTCTAACCCATGAGTGGAAGGTTTAAAGTAACCCCAGAGTTAAATAGTAATAAAAAATGGGCTTTAAAGAATCCCCCCCCCCCCGCCCTCTTGCTCTTTCATTTAAAAATACTAAAATGAAAATGTAAGGGTTGTAATTGAAATTTGAGCAAAAACATTGAAATAAGTATCTTCAGTGATGAACTGAAATTTTAGGTATATTTCGGTATTTACTTACCCAAAATTTCTGATCCTTGTTACTCCCTGGTCAAACTAAATGTGGGGTGGGGATGACAGACTCAGTCACAATGAAAATAATACTTTTTACAGGTTCAAGAATACTTAGCAGTTTCTCATGGATTCCATGAATAATTGTCAAGTTCAAAAAAAGAACAACAGATTCATATCAAATGGGGGTGAATTTTTTTTTTTTTTGTAGCTTAAAGATTTTGGTTAGATAAAAGGTGTATAGTGAGTAGGGATATTTAAAGTCAGTTATGTCACAAGTTGGATGACTTATATTGGAGGGTTTAGTTTGTGTTTTTTTTTTATGTTTGCTTGGTAATTTACAGTATAAAAAAAAAATTTTAAATGATATAATTTCATAATACATTATATACAGGTTTCACAATTTTTACAGGATACACCTATTAAAAAGAAAGAAGAAAAAGCCTTTCTCTGCTTCTTTATCAAGCATATCTCAAGTCAGTTGAAATTGATGACTACTTAATCTGATACAAGGACACTAGAAATAGCAATGGCTTGCCAGACTAGATTTGAATTCAGAATAATCAAGGAAGTTTGTGCAGTTTTTAGTATAAAACATGCTGGAAGCAAAGAGCTAGGTTTAATTTTCTAAACAATGTACAGGCTTAGAAATTACATTTCTATAGAAGCTCATTAGGTTTTGATGTTTTCTACCTTGGGTCCCTGTTAAATGAAAAGAAGACATGAAATAGCAAGAAAACATGATGGATAGTTGGCAAAAGAATATTTAGTTAATTAGTATCAAATGATCTCTGAATGCCATGAAAAAGGTATCTTATTCCTAAATGCAGAATCTTCCTTACGCACACACGAACTATGCAGATATACACTTCTACATATACATAATATAAAGAGATGGGCATGTATACGCTTATGATACAAAAGTGATGTATAATAAATTTAGATTAGAAATAACGCTCAACATTATAAACTAGACGACCCCCCCCCCCAACAAAATGGACACTGGTACAATTGAATACATTATAGTCCAATGTAATCCACAGCTAAGGACAGTTTTACAGATGTCTGAGCCTTTTTACTAAGTTATTCTAGTAGAATAATGAGACAAATTGTTTGGTTATATAATAGCAAATACGAAGTAAGCAAGCAGATCTTTAAAAAAAAAAAAAAAAAAAAACTTGGGCAGCAAAGAATTAGAGATTTGTTATCTTAACTCCTCACTAATTTCTACCCAACACAAATTATTTTTGAAAGAAGAGCTCCCAAATAAGCATTTAAGAAACAGTTTCATCAACATGTTCATATCATTCCTAAAAGAAAATATTTTTAATCAAAGCATTTGAATAAGATAAATATTCTAAATAAAACAAGACTTTCTTTTTGATATTCAAACTCCTTTACCATACTGATTAGTTTTAATGTAAATGTTTAACAGTTTATACATTTTCAACTTCATTAAAACAAATATCATCTTTAGAAACATCTGGGTGCAGTATAATTTCTACAAATGCTTTAACTCAGCAATTGTCTTAATTTAGGAATTCCCATGACAAATGCATTTTTAATGACAATGCAGTTAATTTTGTCATAAGATCTTTGAAAGTGATAGCAAAGGCTTGAAGCTTACCATGGTTGGTAAAATAATAAAAATTCCATAAAGAGCAAGCGATAACTAAGCAGTCACACATTGAACTGGTTGTCATGAGATTAATGGTTCAAGTACTGCTCAGTTATCATATTGACTCCTTTTTTAAGTGAATTCACATTTAGAACAATTTTTTTTAACTAAAATATACAGAAGTAATTTAAAACAAGTGAAATGATCAAAATATTTTTTAAGAAGTTTATGATCATTAAAGTTAGATAATGATTATACAACTTATTTAAAAAGTTCCATCAGAATTTATCTTCTCTTATTCAACATGTGGGATTAAAACTTTTTGCTTTTAGTTCACTAAGAGAACCAAGTCAATGTTGCAACTCCAAGACCCATGAGGAATTTATGATTGTATAATCAAATGCCACAGAGTTGGGAACCAATACCTTTGACAATATTTCATGACTTTGGGGCAATTTGTGCAATCAACAATGAGCCATTTGTTAATTATAAAAAAAAAATAAAATAATTAAATATATTATTAAAAATATTTTAATGTTTTTGTATATTTCAAGTGGACAGATATATATTCAATTGTTTTCTTATAAATTTTGTTCTTTAGATAAAAAATACTTTAAAAATTGTATTTATATTTGGATGGAATAACTGATATATATTGGAACAACAAAGATAGATGTTTTCACACTTCTATCTGGTTCCCAGGTCCATGAAATATTTCAAGTTGAATGCCCTGCTTTGCACCATTTCAAGTCATTTCAAGTGCTGTATATCTGCCAGTTTCAATCAGAGATACCAAATAGTATCTAATTCAACATTGAGTATTAAAAATAATAGATATTTCAAAGAATTTGATCTTCATTACTTTTACATGAGCCGAATCATTCATTATAATGTCAGGTAAATTAATATGGATATTGGAAAAAATATTAATTTTGTTTGTCAGCACTGTGACATTTAAAACAGACAAGTGGATCAATTGAATCTTATTTGATATCAAAGTATTCCTAAACTGAAAAAAGAAAAGGGAGCAGAGGATATAAATAAGTGAGCGACTTTTTTTTTTAAACCTTAAAATGTTCAGTTTCATTTGTCACTTAGTCTCGCAATAAGAGTGAATGAAATAGAAAAGGTGCCTGTTTGTGGAAAGTAACAGCAGTTATCCCCAAGGAAAAAAAATCATTTTTAATGACTGCAGCTAATTTTATAATAAGATCTTTGGAAGTGATAGCAAAGGCATACAGTTTGAAGCTTACCAAGGTTGGTAAACCTAATAAAATTTCACAATGGGGAAATGATAACTAAGCAATCACATAAAACTGGTTGTTATGAGGTTAAAAGTTCAAGTACTGCTCAGCTATATTGACTAACTCCTATTTGAAATGAATTTAGAACAAGATTATTTTTTAACGAAGATATGCAGAAATTTGTGAAATAAATGGATCCAAATATCTATGACATCAAGTTGTAATGATCAAAAAAACATTAACTCATGAACTTATCACAAATTGTTAAAAAAAAAAAAAAAAAATCTGTCTTGAGAAAATATGTAAACACAAAATAGACTAATTTTTCTGATATTTCAAATACAAACATGCACACAATGAAGTTTAAAAGATATTGTTTTACCCTTTCTCCACAATTTGGGAAACAAAATATAGGAATTCTTAGTTTTTATGAAATCAAAAAAGCTGTTAATGGATTAAAGAAAAATGTTCTATTCAAATATATCAGCGCGCTCTCTCTCTCTCTCTATATATATATATATATATATATATAGAGAGAGAGAGAGAGTAGAAAAGTAGATAAGTTGGTCAATAAAACAGTCAGACGAGTACCGATGCCGATGAAATCAGTACGAAAAACAACGGGGACTTTTTTTT